ATCCCGAATTGATTTTATTTGGTCAAGTTTTATAAAGATTTTTTTTAACGAGGGTTCGTAACAGTGCATTCCGAAATACTCGGTTGTCCATAAAAGGACAATGAGGATCTTTAACGTACCTGGCTCATGGCCTTACCGGACGTTTTGATTCTCAAGATGAGAGATGACGCGCCTCCGCTGACTACTGGATGTATGTTACAGCCGCCAGCGTTGGTGTAAAAGCTGTCTGAGATCCCGAGGGCCCAAGACGTACCTCACACCTCGCTTGCCCATTCCGAGTGGTCGGGTCTGAATTGAGCATCAGACCGTATGCCGCGCGTAAAAGGCTACCAAAGGTGCATCAACCTGGTCTCCCCTCGCTAGATAGAAGAGGCCACTCTATCTCGCAGAGTATTGGGGCTTCCCTAGCATAAGAACTTCCGGATCCGTTCCGGCCGCTGTTTTGTTTAAAGTGGAATTGCTAACCACCCCCTAGACGAGACTGCCTTCGGTAAATGAGGCCATTCGTGTAGGCACCACCGACCACTATCCATTCCATCCGCCACTTCTCACGTATTCGAGGGACTCCATCAGCGTATTCTGAGCGACCTCAAATCCGTGAGGTGGGGTTTATAACGATGGCAATACGCAAGTGCTTGGGCGAAGGTTACAGATAGAACAACATCCTCTTCTCTAAGTTCTCGCCAGGAGACTCGCCACTAACCACTACGAGTCCGTTGCCATTGTAGCACGGGTTGGACTTTGGAATATTTCTGCTGCTCCGTAAGTTGATATGACCTCTGCTCTTACAATTGTTATGCTCCCTCCCCCGTCTATGCAGAGAGGATCTGGTACCCTAATCCTCAACCCACCGACACGAATCCAGCTTGAGCTTTAGAGAGGTTGCCACGCCATCAAGGCTGCACCATTATTTTGCGCCTTCCCAAGGGTTGGGAGAAGTCGCAAGGAAGAGAGAAGGACCTGGATTGAACGAGGACACGAAGCTCGCCTTTTCAGGCTGTGCCCCCGCCTAGTCCACACTGTACCACCATTTTTCGTCGCGAGGTTTCATAACAGCCGAGGTCATATCACCCTTCGGGTTTTCAGTGTTTCTGAAAAAAAAAAAGCCCATTTGTAAGTACATCGGGTTCGAACCCTACTTACAGTAATGAGCTCGGGAAATTTCATCAGTGCTTTAATTACTTTTAATCCTTTGAAATGGACCAATTATTGTTGTAACATAATCAATGGAGAATGTCTAAGAGCTAATTAAAAATATTGAGGGTGAAAAACTTTCTTTTGCCTCTCTGTGAAGTTTTTCGTTTAGTGTTCTTCTTTTGTACTTTTTGGACGATACAGGTGATCTGACACCATTCTAGAAGCGTTTTTTCCTACCTCGTCTTTTTACGGTTTATTGTTTGGATATTAGAATTAATTAAGGTTTTTAGTTGAGATGAAAAAAGTTAATGGCACGAGCGGGATTCGAACCCACGATCTTCGGCTAGATACGCCGCTGCTCTACCACTTGAGCTATCGTGACCTCGATCCACTCGGAATCAACTTCCCATCTCAACCCACCTTATGAGTTTTCCCTCATTTTTGCCATTGCTCTGGTTGTGTTAACGACTGCGGCCAACGTGTAAAAATGCTTTTTATTACGACATTAATTATACAATAATTAACACTAATCATTAAAAAAAAGTCATGTATATTTCTCTGTTCATTTATTTTTCAAGTACAACTTTGCACTCGTGTCTAAGCGAGTGGGAAACATTAAACAATTTCCTTTGCCAGCCTGGTATTACCATGTGTAATTTCATTACCAATTTCCTGGCAAGGGGTGATTTAGCATAACGTAAATCAAGATACCCGCTCCCACAAATTATTCCGTCCAGGTAGTGCAGGGGTTCCAACAGAACAACATATTACAGTTACCAACAAACTTCTTTGTCAAAATATTCCCCTTATCCATTAACAAATATTGACCATTTATTGATTTAAAACAGTACGGATTAAAATTTACATTCGCCAGGTCTACTTCGTCCGTTATAAACAATTTAGGCTTAGTTTTAATTCATTTTGATAAAGGTCATAATTCTAGTCAGCCACGAAGAAAATCGCGAGTCATGGGGAGATTTTGTTGGTGAGCAATCGAGCCAAAGGTGTTTTGCCAAGTTTATAAGATTTATCACAGGAAGTCGACTCAGGAAGACCGAAAACGCCAAAGTTTAAGGCTTTAATCGAAAAATAATTTACGATGTCAAAGTCGAGTTTTCTATTAAACTAATTAAGGTTTATCCGCCCAAATAAATTTATTTTTGCACTCGTTGGATAAAAAGGTTTATTTTCTTATCTTTATTTCATAGGGCAGACATTTGTTACAGATAAGGATGAAGGAAAGTAGAATCTGAAAGCCAAATGAACAACTATTGATGTAGGGGAAGCCCTTTTCTGCAAGGACTCAACGATCAAATCCATCAAATACTGTTTGGAAATCAACAAAGGAAAAACATCAAGAAAAACCCGGTTTAGATTTGCGAATAGAATGAAAATCGTTTTCTCTCCATGACAACATAATGTCTCATATTTCTCTGAGGTGAAATATACGGCCAGTGGATAGATAGAAATACTTTATTTTATAATTTTGAGCATACCATGAGGAGATCGTTGCAAATTGAAAATTAAACATAAAACTATGTATATCCATGGATTAATTGCAGAACATAAAAAGAATAGAAATAAATACATAGAAATGTAATGACTTTTTCGTACATGTTATTAACCTTTTTGATAAATATGGTATTTAATGAATAAAAGGTGTATACGAAATTAAAAATTAAATTCCTGGACTAAATGATTTCTATACCTCCAGGCGGGGCGAGCAAACTGTTTGAGCACGGGGATCCGAAAGATTCAACCCAATCATTTGGGCTCTTGAGAAGTTGAATGATCTGAGGTGTAATATAAGAATCTTGCGCAAGATCTAACACTCAGCTAGAAAGTGAAGAACTGTCTCAATTGACCCGAATCTCTCCTAAAATCGAACACTCAGCAAGAAAGTGAAAACTGTTTCAATTGACCAGAATCTCTCCTAAAATCTAACTCTCAGCAAGAAAGTGAAAACTGTTTCAATTGACCAGAATCTCTCCTAAAATCTTACACTCAGCAAGTAAGTGAAGAACTGTTTCAATTGACCTCAATCTCTCCTAAAATCTAACACTCAGCTAGAAAGTGAAGAACCGTTTCAATTGACCTGAATCTCTCCTAAAATCTTACACTCAGCAAGAAAATGAAGAACTGTATCAATTGACCCGAATCTCTCCTAAAATCGAACACTCAGCTTGAAAGTGAAGAACTGTCTTAATTGACCCGAATCTCTCCTAAAATCGAACACTCAGCAAGAAAATGAAGAACTGTCTCATTTGACCTGAATCTCTCTTAAAATCGAACACTCATCAAGAAAGTGAAGAACTGTATCAATTGCCCGCGAGTTGTACAGAGAACAGATTCCATCCTTCCCTCTTATTCAAAGAGCAGAGTCCAAATGGAGAACCTCGCAACGAAATTGTAGAAGCCAACGGAATATAGATGAAGACCGACGAAATGAGTCTTTAAATAGCAAGAAATTATCTGAGGATTGAGCACGGTCCATGTATTCAAGTGATATGATCTTTTACTGCCGACAACAATGCTGAAAAGATTTCTGGCCATTTTTCGAGGTTATCAAGGATTGGGATGGTTAGGGAGAGTTTATGGAATAGATACAGCCAATTTGCATACCAGGGAGTCTTCGACCGTATCATTTCTAACGGTGTTATTTTTACAAGCCGGGAATCTGAAAATTGTATGGTTTTAAGAATGAACTAAAAGTGAAATTGTAAGGTGTGTATGTATGTCTGACGATTTTTCTAAGTAAATCATGTAATTAGGGGTTGGAGTTGGTAATGCAAATAATTTACGGACAAAATATCTTACAACTTTTTCTATTGAATCAAATTGTTGATAGTACCATACCTGATAACCGTATAGAATCGAATGGCACACTGAATTGAATACTTGATACTTGACTTTTAATGGAATGACCTCTTGAGTGATTAAAAAAGACCACGTCTTGTTGATTGTAAACTTTGTTAATGATACTTTTTTCTTCAAATGATTCGACCATGGCAATCTGCGGGAGAGAAGAACACCAAGATGTTTAATTAACCTTTTCTATTCTTTCTCCTTTATAATACCAACGGTCCGAGGACTTAACCCTACCACGTCTTCTGAACACCATAACCTTAGACTTTTGGAGGTTTACCGTTAAATTCCAATGGTCACAACAAGCTTCTAAATAGCTTTATATTCGTTTGTAGACCATGCTGGAGTCAACCATTATAACTATGTTGTCATCGAAGAATCGGATTTAGCAAGCACCCTCTACAATTGGAGAGGGCAAAACTCAGAGGAGTGGTGGGACTACTAACCGGTCACTGGTATCTGAGAAAACATCTACACAACATGGGTATATACAATAATGATCCCATTTGCAGATTATGTAATGAGGAGGAAGAAACAGCCACTCATATCATCTTCGAATGCGAAGCAACAGCTCAATGGAGGTTTAACCTAACGTACGAAAAAGACTCAGGGAACAAAATTCAGCAATAACAGTCAATGACCTGATACTTCTGAGAAGAAGGATTGAGTCTATTGACTAAACTAGGGAATTGGAAAGGTACAATAAGCCAGAAGGCTGCAGTGCCTGGGGAAATACAAGCCCCGCTTCCCAGCATCCCTTCCACCATACCATACCATAGCAGGCACCCTTGCCTAACCCTACAATGAACTTTAAAATATGTCAGTTGAATATGAGTCAACTGTTTAATATGATCAATTTCCGTTCTGGTGAATACAAACAAAAATGTTCCAATCGAAAAAGAATGCAGTTATATGCAACATAACTGAATATATAAAGAATTTAACGTAAAATACCCACAATATTGTTTTTTGAAACGTTTTCCTTTTTTTGTCCTCAGACGAACGGGATCTGGCCAGTTGTCAGCAACTGCTCTCCTAGGATCGCCGGATGGGTCGCGGCACCCCCTGGATTTGTACGAGTTGGCCGAAGAGTTCCCACAGCCGAGCAGATCCCCGCAGAACGGCATCTGGACCTGTCTCGTGGGATGCGGTCACAAGATCGACCAGACACTCGCCCGGAGGAGGGTATGATAAAAACTCCAATCAATAGAAATGATAAATCGTGGAGTGAGTGTGGTGTTCAATCCTTTAAAAAAAAGATATTTCCTACTCACAGTAAGTTGTTTTGCAACGATCCGGATTTCGAGCCTTTTAGCTCATCATCAGGTTGAAGGACTTCTACAAAAATTTGTTCGATTTAGGAAAGTGTTCTTTTACTCTTGTTTTTATTTCTCTACCGCTTTGTCCTATATATTTAATATCACCATTACAATTGAGTTGGTAAACCCCGCTTTTTGCCAAGGTGTCTACTTTGTCTTTAGGTTTTGAGCGGATGTTTTTAAGTGAACCCGTACTTCTAAAAGCTATTCTAAAAGCTTCTTGTTTAAAAATTTTACTAACTTTTTCCTATAATTCACCACTGTATGGGCAAACAACGGAAACCTAATGATTCAATTGTGGTGGGGTGGCTGAGTCCTATTTCTTTATTTCTAACACCTGATAACTATAAAAAAGAATTAAAAACTATTAAAACCTTAGCAAAAAACAACGGGTATCAAGAAATATTTATTGATAGGTTGCTAGTTAAAAGAATAAACAAATTAGAAAGAAATAGGATATCAAATATATAGGACAAAGCGGTAGAGAAATAAAAACAAAAGTAAAAGAACACTTGCCTAAATCGAGCAAATTTTCGGAATTTAAGGACCATATAAAAGAAACAAAACATAATTCCAATTCAAATCTAAATACAAGAGTGTTACATAGTTTCAACAAAGGGAAAGAACTAGATTGGTTTGAGCAATTTGAAATTAAAAAATGTAAAATTGAACATGGTAATAAATGCACTAATAATATAACAGATTTTGATCAACCTCCCAATTTTAATATGTACATAAATAATATCAAACATGCAAATAATTAAACTAATTTATTTTAATTGTTATTATTTTTATAGTAATTTAATAATATTAAGTATTTACTAGTATAATGTTTATTTGTGTTATAATTTCCGCGTTTCGCACGTTCAAATTGAGCGCCATTAAAAAAATCAGCTGCTAATTGGAACGTCGCGTTGGCGGAAGTATCAGCGGGTTCACTTTGGCAATCCATGTCGAGAAACGTGGTTGTAGAAGTCCTTCAACCTGATGATGAGCTAATAGGCTCGAAATCTGGATTGTTGCAAAACAACTTACTGTGAGTAGGAACTATCTTTAAAAAAAAAGGATTAAACTCCAATCATGTTGGGTTCAGCGGTACGGATAATCTAGTTTGGTAATCTTTGATCATCTTGACCGGTTTATTCTAGATGGTTTGGCCTGTCATGACAAGGATCGATTACAACCAAACTGTAACTAATTTGACTTGGATTTGTTGGTTTTTTTAAATCGTTGAGGTAACAAGATGTCTAGTAGATAACGTGGACCTTCAAAAACGATGACGTTTACATGTAATTATCTGATCTGTTTTATTGGGCATTTTCGCCTGTTCTACCAATGCTAAAGATTCGAGTAAATTGGAGTAACGAGACGCCAGAAAATTGATCAGATAGGCTCTGCTGAAATCGAACTCAAACCTGATGGTATCAAGGTTATCAAAGTTGTATTAGGTCGCGACAGTATATCTTTATCTGGTTAAACTTCTTGTTTTACTGAATGTTGTGTTTTCCACAATACAGAACCTAAAGTTATGAGTTAATTGAAGTAAGGATATTCAGAATTTTTTTAGGCTGCGATAGGAACCGAACCCAGACTCCTAACGATTTATAAAATCTATCAAAATCGGTGACTTTTACATGGGTTTTAGGTCTGATTAAAGTTATGTTTTCTGTCATTGTCTTCCAAATTGGTCAACTAAAAGTCACGAGTAAATTTTAATACTAGGAGATTAAACATTTACAAGAAGTAAGCTGAGATTAAAACTCTGGACTATGTCGCCTTATCGATCACGTTCTCCGCTCATAACTACATCTTTAAAAATTCATACATAAACTACATCAACGATAGACGAGTCTTCAAAATGTAAACATTACGCAGTGAACCAGGCGTAAATCAACAGAGTTTTCCTTCTCTCTAATAATCGATAGCGTTCGTAATAGAATGAACTGAGAGTTTATGGCCTGGAATGAGTTATTCACCACGTTTCCGCCTTTAAGCCGTATTTTGGAAACGTTATGATAAATCGAAAAAAAGGGGAGGTCGTTGTGAATCGTACCCTTGGGCCCAGTCGTTTACATCTCCCCAATTAAAGCTTTCAGGACACTGCAAGTCCAAGGGGTTGTAAATTTATAATAAAAACTGGGGTGAGCAAAGAGCGTATTTCCCTTTTACATATTTTCCATGAAAAATTGTAATTTTAAATATAAGAGGCTGTGGTTTTATTTATATAAATCAACGTCTTCTATATAAAACAGTTTTATTCAACGCTTTGTACTAAGCATCAGAAAAAAAATTGAATCGTACAAACTGCATAGCTTCGTTCCAAGCTTATTTACTCTTTAAATTGAACTTCCAAAAGTTTTTTTATATAAAAACCTTTTCTTACAATTTATTTTGCCTTTTAGGTGGAACAAGGTCTGAAACTGTACAACCAGCACAAACAACAGGCTGCGGTAACAAAGTGGAAGAGCGCGTTGAAGAGGATAAGAAAGAGAAACGACAAATTTGTCCTTTTAGGATACCTGTACCAGGCGTACATGGAATGGGGAAAATACAGGTCTTTTACATTTTTTTTTCAGCGTAAATGTCGAATAATTGCCATGTGTATACGCGCTCAGAAATTGAGACATATCCGTACTTTTCTTATAACAATTAACCATAAAAATACTGGAATTTTTTAAAGTTTATTAATACTAATTAAACTGTGGTGATTATTAGTGACCGTTCATCAATAATTATTCCGAAATCGTGAGATGACACCAGACCGCATCTCACGATTTCGGAATAACTAATTAAACTGTTCACAAGCAAAAACTATTAGATTGGCAAATCGCTCCTAATAAACTGTGGCTATTTTAGCAATTTTACTGTCCAAGAATATTGGTAATTTGCGATTTTAAAAATGACGTTTATTACGATTTTGATATTATGTAATTTTAGTAATCGATGGCATTGGATCGATTTGTTTTTCAGTTTACTATCAATGGCATTGGATTGATTTCAAATAGTTTATTGATAATGTTGGACGATTTTAATATTTTGTAATCTTGCCAGCAATGGTATTGGATCGACTTCAATATTTTGTAATTTTACTGTCGATAGCATTGAATCGATTTTGATATTTTGTAATCTTGCTAGCAGTGGTATTGGATAGATTTAAATATTTTGTAATTTTACTATCGATAGCATTGGATCGATTCTGATATTTTGTAATTTTACTATCGATAGCATTGGATCGATTTTGATATTTGTAAACATAGTATCGATGGTATTGGATCGATTTCAATATTTTGTAATTTTACTATCAATGTTGGACGATTTTCAGGTTTTTAATCTTTTTTTTTTAAGAATTAATTTCCATAGTATTAGGCCGATTTCGATATTTTGTAAATTTAATATTCATTTTATTGGATTGATTTCAATATTTTGCAATTTTACTATCAATGGCATTTGATCAATTTTAATGATTTGTAATCTTACTATCTATAAAATTTAATATTTATCGATAATATGTAATTGTACTACCGACGGAATTTGATCGATTTCGATTGCTGTAATTTTGCTATCAATCACTATTGATAGTTATCGATGTTTTGTAATTTGTCTGTGGTATCCGTCGATAGATCAAAATATTTTATGATTTTATATCGATCAATATAGATGGATAGTTAAAAAAACGGGTAGTGAAATAATGTTGAAAAACCCGTTCGAATAAAACCATTAAAAATTAAATCACTCCCCTAATGAATCAACTCACACGTTACAGGAACCAATTAATTTCCCGTCTTAAATTTTTTTTGGCTTAGGATAATTTCGCACATAAACCGCTTGGGCGGTTTTACAGCCAGGCTTTCATTCCACTTTTATGATGAAAAAATCCAATCCCGGTCTATGAACTTTGACAACCTATTATCAATCAACCCATTACCTGGTTTAGCTGTTCGTCCCCTACTCTTACGTCCACGAACGGGGTTAATGATAAGCTTTTAAAAGAGCTTTTCAAAGTCCTGAGGAAGGCGTCAAAAGTTAAGAATTGAAGGAACTGCCTCCAGCTGACTTTGCATTAGCCCCATATAAACCCGCGTTTTTCGTCCATTTCTCTCTCTTCATCCTACCATTCGCCTAGCGAAACTCAATACCTTCAGACTTTATAATCTTCTCTTGTATGTTTCAAAGTAAATAAAAGCCTTTTTTTTTAATAAAAGAGGTCCTAGTGTTCTTGACTTATAACTAAAGACGAAAGCTCGGCGAAAACAATTTTGTTGTTTTTTACCTTCATGGCCTCATCCCTGATCTCCCAGTTTTTGTGTACTTATCATCAAAGGACGATATCATACTCAAGAATAAATATTTGTTTCTTTTCTGTTATATGTTGATCAAAAGTGTACTTGTCAATCCGTTACTAATCATCTCTCTTTGGTGATTTTCCTTACCGAAACACAAACTAAAAATTCATTTTCAAATTTATCAGAGAGGTTAATGAATGGCACAAAATGTTTATCAACCCCTGTAAAAAAAGCTTCTTGTAAAAACCAACTCGATCTATTTATTTCAGTCTCGTTTAGCTCAATAAAAACCTCTTGAAACTGCCTGGAATTTGTATTCGTTAGGTTGTCATTAAAAATCTTCACTTTTCGACCAAAGGGAATTCAATTTTCACTCAATCCTCGGTGATTAAGTTAATATATTTTTAATGGTTTTAGCCACAAAAGATCAATGCGATCACAGGCAAGGCGGTTTTTTCCTCGTGCCTGTATGTAATTTATGACCTAGGACTTAACCGGATTGTAATCTTCTTTAAATTGTATCGACTTGATTTAGAGAAGCCGAGAGAATTAATCCACCGAATGTTCCAGGGAAAGCTTGGAGTTAGCGCACAGGCAGCTTAACTTGGCCGAAGAGGCCGACTGCCCCAATCTGCGCGCCGAGGCATATTTAAACCTCGCCAGGTTCGTAGATAATTTATTTATTTTGTTTAAAAAAATAATTTTTTTCCGTTCGTATCGTCTGTACAGGACCCATGAGAGGATGGGAGGATTGGAAAGGGCCCTGGCCTGCGCTAGACACTCGCTTTACAACGAATGCGATCAGTGCAGAACTGCAGGATTGGTGCAGATCACAGTCGCAAGTCTCAACTTGGAGCTGGCCGTCTTCTGCAAAGCTTTACAGGCGTTTCAGCAGGCGCACGCGATCGCCCACCGCATCAAGGATTCCTCCCTTGAGCTCCAGGTATCGTCTTTTACAAACCGAACTGCTTTATTCGTTGATACTGTTTAGAGGAACAAAATATCACATAATTCTAAAAGATTTCAATTAATTATTATTTTTATGTAAGGTCTTGGTTGAGAAGAAAAAGCTAGTGTCACGAGCGGATTCGAACCTACGACCTTCGGCTCAGTAAGCCGCTGCTCTAACCATTTGAGCTAATCGAAGGCACGGTAGGTTTGGTAGTTAGAGCAAAGGTGTACTGAGCCGAAGGTTCAAATCCCGCTCGTGACGCTAACTTTTTCATCGCAACCAAGACCTTTCTCATAAGTCGCTGAGAACTGAATCCTGATTACACGAAATTCGAAAAATGGCAAAAAGTGGTAAATGCGAAAGGTTTTAGGTTGAGATGGTAAGTTGGTGTCCGAGTGGATCGAAGTCACGATAGCTCAAGTAGTAGAGCAGCGGCGCATTGAGCCGAAGGTCATGGGTTCGAATCCCGCTCATGACACTGACTATTTCATCCCAACCAAGACCTTTCATAAAAAGAATAATTAATTGAAATAATTTCTATGGTTATTAGATCACTAAAAATAGATGGATTAATATTATAAGTAAAAAGAAGTAATCACTTCACTAACAGCTCGCCGTGGCCATTTTCGTAAGTCGCTGTGAACCGAATCCTGATTACACGACATTCGAAAAATGGCAAAAAGGAGGGAAAATTCGAAAGGTAGGTTGAGATGGTAGTTGGTGTCAGATAGCTAGCTCATATCTCATGTGGATAGAGCAGCGGCGTATTGAGCCGAAGGTCGTGGGTTCGAATCCCGCTCGTGACACTGACATTTTCATCGCAACCAAGACCTTTTTCGTAAGTCGCTGAGAACCGAATCCTGGTTACAGGACATTCGAAAAATGGCAAAAAGGAGGGAAAATTCGAAAGGTAGGTTGAGATGGTAAGTTGGTGTCCGATAGCTAGCTCACAGCTCGTGTGGTTAGAGCAGCGGCGTATTGAGCCGAAGGTCGTGGGTTCGAATCCCGCTCGTGACATTGACTTTTTCATCCCAACCAAGACCTTTCATAAAAAGAATAATTAATTGAAATAATTTATATGGTAATTAGACCGCTAAACATAAATGGATTCTAAAAGATAATGATTGCGAAAGCCTGCTAATTCGGCCAATAACTCCTCTTCATTGTTGAATAATCGGACGACGAATCAAATTTTAATAAATTAACAAAAATATTTAAAGGTGTACTAGAAACGTGTTAAAGGCGCTTGTTGCAAATAAGCTTCAGATAATAATAAATGAGCGAATATAATAATACGATAAGGACGTGACCGTATTTTTCGTCTAATTAATAAATACGATACTGTTGTCTGGGTTTTTCCTAATTATAAACATTATTGACGTTTATACGGTGTAATTATAAACTTGTAAAAAGGCCGTGTAATATCCGTGAGAAAATGACGGTTCACGATTAATTGTAAAACAGACAAACAACCAAAGCTTCTCTTTTATAAACAAATTATTTTCAATTTACTCCATTCAAACTCAACAGCCTTATTCCATTATTAAACGGGGTCTATGACAATGTGTAAATTTACAGGTTAGTCACTTTATGTCTAGACAGTAATATACACTTTAAACCTGGATAAAACGGTCCCTTTTCAAATTGTGTTAAGTTAAAGGTAAAAAAGATAAAAAGACATTTTGCCTATGTATAAGGGGCATCAACAGCAGCAAACGTTAAGGCGTTGACACATCGTGACACATCATTCAAATTTGATCGGTATTTAATGTAATATATTTCACTTTTCATTAAAAAATAAAATAAACACTAATAATTTAAAATTTCCTTTTCATACTTGTGAAGAGAATCATGTTTTTTCTTGCTTGCCTATCCCTTTAGCTTACAGTGCTAAAAAAGTGTTCAACGCATCGAATCGAGAGTGCCAGAGGTACATTCAGACTCTCCTTCAGCAAAATCGAAGGGGGAACGATTGGTTTCTGCCAAGCAAGAAATACATCAAGAACCAAAAACTGGAAAAGAAAAAAACACAAACCAAATATTTTTCTGAAAAATTATGAAATCAATCAAATAAAATCCTCCAACCAAAAAAACCACTCCTAAGGCTAATAAAGCCATTCTGACCTCATAAGAAATAGTCTGGGCTACAGAACGAAGAGACCCTAATATAGCATAATTAGAATTTGAAGATCAACCACTAATTATTACTCCATAAACCCCTACGCCTAAACATACTACCATAAACAAAAATTCAAAACTAAAAAAGTATACATTTACTAAAAATGGAAACAAGCATCACAATATAAAAGATAAAATTATTATAAGTATAGGAGAACAATATTAAATAAAGAAATTAGACAAACAAGGATATCTTTGTTCTTTAAAAAATAGCTTTAATCCATCAGAAAAGGGCTGTAATAGTCCTATCAAACCTACTTTGTTGGGGTCGCAACTTTGTTTCTTTTATATATTAATAATTTTTGGAAATTTAAATTCTCAGGAAAAATATTTAATTATGCAGATGATACTTGTATCATTTTCTCAGGTGATAATTTATTTAACTAAAGCTATAAATAATGATATGAAAATGATTAATTTTTGGTTAAACTCAAACGTTCTACTTTTAAACAAAAAAAGTAATGCATTACACTTTTCATTGAAAAAGAAAATAAATACTAATAATTTAAAATTTGTTTTTCATACTTGTGATGATATTGATGTGTGTTCTTGCTTGCCTATACCTTTAGCTTACAGTGCTAGATATCTTGGGGTGACATTGGACTCTTAATTGAGATTCGATTTACATATTGATTCTTTGGTTTCCCGTCAGAGAAAGCAGTTTTATAAATTTGGAATTTTTCGCAACTTTATGAAAATTGGACTGTTAAGGGCAATATATATATATTTTTTTGCCCAATCCGTAATAGCCTATGACATTGTTTCCTGGGGGAGTACTTAAAAATGCTGCTCTAAGACTGTGGATGTAACTATAAGCTCACTTCTTAAAATTATTTTACGTAAGCTCTATATATATATATATATAACTGTATATGTAACTTATATATATATATACATATATAATTTTTATCTCAACCAAGAACTTACATAAAAAGAATAATTAATTGAAAGAAGTAACTTGGTATACTACTTTGGTGGTATAATACTCGGACACCAAAAAAATGGCAAAAAGGAGGGAAAATTCGAAAGGTTGTAGGTTGAGATGAGAAGTTGGTGTCCGAGTGGATCGAAGTCACGACAGCTCAAGTGGTTAGAGCAACGGCGTCTTTAGCCGAAGGTCGTGGGTTCGAATCCCGCTCGTGGCATAAACTTTTTCATTTCAACCAAAACCTTACATAAAAAAATTAATTAATTGAAAGAAGTAATTTTGTCAATAGACCACTAAATATAATGGATTATTATTATTAATTAGTCAATTTACTATCAACTACTATAGTTTTTTTATATATATTTTTTTCTAATTTTACTATCAATGACTATTGTTCGTTAAAGATAATTTGTAAATTGATTATCAGTACCAAAAGATTTAATAATGTTTTTTAAATTTCACTATCGTTAAAATTGCTTGCGTATAATATTCTTTACTGTTACAATCGATAATTGCAACTTTGTATCGATATATTGTAATTTTAATACCCATGACTAAATGATTTTGTATTTCGATTAGAATTGACTATAGATCTATAGATTGATTATCGATTGTCAATTTATAATCGATGTTTTAAAATTTTACTACTAGGAGATGTTGATGTTTTGTCTTTTTACTTTGATGATTATAGTTTCTTATCAATGTTTTGTATGTTTACCATAAACCATTACAAAGAGATTCTTACAGTTTATAATTTTGGGGGTCATGGCTGTCAATAGATTACATATAATAAACACATTTAGGCTAAACATTTTACAAAAAACCTTGAACTTAGCCAGTCTTTTTTCAAAAATTATTTGAGATAAGTGCTGTCAATGTTTTCAAATCCTTCTCAATGGGAGGAAAAGCATTTGGCCCACTACTATATTGGATTGGGTAATATACCTCTTGGCTTTTCTTTATCCTTGGGTGGTTTACCAGCATCTGAGGGTGTATTTTTCCCCTCATCAGTGGGGAGTAATTTAAGAGATTGGTCCTGAAATGGATGACTTTTTATTATATTAAGGAATGATTTTTTTTAGAATTGGCATCACTATTTTCATCTGAATCGGATAAATTACTTTTTTTAAATCTTATAAGAAATGAAGAGATGTTTATGACTTTTGTTATATATGGCAGCCCAAAATCTACTTGGGATTGATTTTCTCGGCCTAACTTTTAAATTGGTAATTTTTTTTAAATTGCAGGTTTATGTGGGTCTTTCGGAGCTTTTCGGAAGGCTTCAAGACGCAGACAAATCCGCTCGGTGAGACTTATTTGAATATTACATCTACTGTATTTTTTTTTAGCAGGTTTCTTTTTATTGTTATCACATTTATTACAGATACGCTTCTAAGGCGTACGACATATCGAGGAATTTGGACATGGGCGATTTGAACTCCAGGTTCCACAGGACAGCTCTTTTGCAAATGGCTAGTGCTTTGAGAAAACAGGGAGAACTCGGCGACGCTCATGATTACTGCAGCGTAAGGATCATAATTTAAATTTTTCAGATTGTTAAAAAAAATTGAAATCATAAATTTTTTTAGGTTTTTTACTTTTTTTAAATTTTATGCTGCATGTAGCAAAATGAATTTAAAAATTAAAAGTTTATTTAAAAAACTATAGTGTTTAAGTTCAATTGGTGATAGTAAAATAACCTCTTTAACTTATAATTTTTTATTTAAAAAATCTATAAAAAAAATCAACGATTATACTTTTCTTATTATCGACTGGTTTAAGATGATCAAGAAATAATAAATTTATATTAATTAATAATTTTTGTTACAGGAAGCAACAAGACTATCTTTGGTATCCGGAGATCAATGCACCTATGCTAGAAGTATCAGGGTAATGGGTGATATTTACAGGAAAAAATCTGAAATCAGCGTAAGCATTCGATTAATATTTTCAAGGAAATTTTAATTTTAGGATATATAACAAGTTATCTAGAACTAGTTTTTTTGGCATAAACAAAATAAATCGTAAAAGGGCGAAGAAGGCTAACTGCTTCTGAAGGTATTTGTTTGTTATCCAACTGTGCCAATTTAATAAGGCCTTGATCACAAAAATTTATTTATAAATTTTCTTAATATAATTGAACATATAAAACGTTCGCAAGCCGGGGTTTAATGTTAAATATGAAAATGAAACACATTAAACGACTCTCGCTCGTCTGGAGGTCCGCCAGATTTCGCTGACAGTTCGGCTTCCTTAGTTGATAGGAGCGGACGGCGAAAAAGGTCCAGGGACGTTGTGCAATTAAACAAGAATCCAATTGCTGGAGATACAAACAACTCAATTTGACTTGATTGCACCACTTAAAAGACATTTCAGAAATAAAATACTACGAAGATTAAATCTTCCTGGTTGGGAAAAAATTAACAAAAAAGAACTTGTCACAATCCTTTCGGTTTAACCGGAAAAATTAGGAAAGTTCCATGGAATTTGCATTGAGAACAGGAAACGAATGTTATTTTTTTATGTGTTATGTAACGAGATACAATATTATTTATATTTATATATATCCTGAGGGGAGCCAGCAACTATTTCTAATGAGGTCCCGGGGCTTTGTAGGGATGGGTAATATTGAACATTCATCGCGTTAATGGGTTGGGATGTGGGGATAGTTTTTTATGGAATGTGAATATTTCTTAGGTGTTGGGTTTTTAACGAATGATGTTTGGAGGTCATTTTGAAGGTTAGAGTTGTAAAAGTAGTAGGAAGCGTTGACAATGGTTCTGAGGACTTTTGTTTGGAAGAACTATATTCTTTGAACGGTGGAAGTTTTAGCGGAGGCCCGTAATTCTAATCCGTATGTCCAAACCGAACCCACTTTGGCTCAATACACCGCTGCTTTACCACTTGATCTAGGATGACAGAAGCCACAAAAATGATAAGAAGATAAAAGGAATAATTAATAAGGTACAAGATTGGTCCGACCAAACTGCCCTGTGGCACTCCCGCTGCCAAGGAGGTCGGAGTATTCCGATCCTTGGCGATCTCCAAATAATCGTTCTGTTAGTATGAAACGCTTGTGCCAAGAAAGGCCCTCAGGCAGTGTTGTTTACGCTCAAGGGATGAGGATATCTGGTCCACCACGCGAATCACCTGTTGTGGGGTGTTGTGGAATGTAGAGGACGAAAGCCGAACTGGTGATCTGGGTGTTTAGTATAGCCATTAATAGTTTTAGAAGGATTTTCTGAGAGAGAAAATAGGCTGGTTGGAAGAAGCTTAATGGATGAGTTTGCCGTATTTTGGTAAAAGGATCAGTATTTCCAGAGCAAAGGAAGGTGAGTGGTACGGAATGTACTGTTGTATATGATGATTTTTTTGGGGAATCAATGGAAGATTCGGGACGAGATGAGGTCGAAGTCATTTGGCATCCGATTCGCGAAAAATTTTACCACTGAAGTACTTTGGGGTTGAAGGGACAGGGTAGGAGAGATGTGAAGTACAGCCTCCTACAACTACTAACAGAAAGAGGTTAGAATTTTATAGCTTTTGTGGACGACCTGGTTGTTGTAATCGAAGGGCAAACGAGAAAAGCAATAATCGACAAGACGCAGGCAGTTGTCGAGTTAATTGTCAAATGGTGTGAGCTTGCGAAGCTAAAGGTAGCCCCAGAAAAGTGCCAAACCCTAATGCTCAAAGGGAAAATGGGTACCCCCCATACATCCGGATAGAGGGAAAACGAGTGAAGCCAAGCGATCAAGTCAAGTACTTGGGAGTAATATTAGGCGATAACCTGAACCCAGTACACCACGCTATTAAAATAAGGGAAATGACAAGAAGGGTGTACAATAGATTGAGCGTAATAGTCGAATATGGACTTAGCACAAAAGCGCTCTCCACAATCTATAAAAGTGTCTTCCTCCCAATAGTAAGTTATGGTGCAGCCGGATGGGCCAAACGACTACCTAGCAAAAGCAAAGCTATAATAGAGCAAAGCCAACGAATAGCTCTTATAAGAACCACAAAAGGGTACAGGACGATTTCAACACATGCCCTACAAGTAATAGCCAACGCACCGCCAATAGACCTAGTCCTTAAAGAAAGGGTGGTCATCCACCAAAAAAAGAAAAATGAGGCTATTGATATAGGAGCAAGCCAAGGAGAAATAGACCGGTTCCGAAGCACAACGGTGAAGGAGGCACAAGAGTACTTGGGAAAAATGACAAGGGCATCATGGCAAGAAAGATAAACAAACAGCAATAAAGGTCGGCTAACATCCAAATTTTTCCCAAGCGTTGAAAAAAGACAAATAGAAAAATGGCTACACCCCGACTACTGGACCACCCAAATGCTATCAGGACATGGAAACTTCGCAAGCTATCTTCATACATATAAGAAAAGAGAAAGCCCTTTATGCTCTGTCTGCAGCACTGAAGAAGACGCCGAACATAAACTCTTCAGCTGTATCAAATTCAAGGCAGAAAGAGAACGTTTGCGAAAGACCATCACCTCAGCAGAATGGCCGCCTAATCTCCAAAAGCTAGTCTGTGATATCAAATTTTTTGGAGCACTAAAAGACTTTGCCTCAAATACGCTTAAATGAACAAGTCCCTATTTATTTTATTTATTCTATTTATTCTAATTATTAAGGCCTAAATATTGTTATTATTGTTAGAGTTTTATTACAGTTATTTATTTATTGCATAATTAAACATAGGTTTAGGTTTAGGGTTCCGGGCTGTTTTCCTCTTCTTAGTAAGAAAATTTTAGATAATATAAATAGATAGAAAATAAAACCAAGGAAAAGTAAATGTGCAAGGGGAAACCAGCAAGGGAAAACCTTTTGTTTTAGGTTCTAAAATGAAAATATGGTCCCTTCAAAAACCGACCAACGGTCTCGACTGAAGGAAAGATCGTTATGAGGTATTTTTATCCCATTTATTTGAAATCCCTTAGATATACAAATTCGATTAACCTAAAGCGTTTGTCCGCCGGTATGGGGTCTTCCTCAGGTACGGCGGGGTGGTTGAAAGGGTAAAAAAAATGGACCATGACCTGTCGTTTCCATGGAGGGGATATGACGGAATGTACTATTGAATATGATGACTTTTGAATTAACGGAGGACTCGTGACGAGATGAGGTCGAAGTCATTCCGCATCCGATTCGGTATAAATTTTACCTCTGAAGGAGTAACTGCTTTGGTGTTGAAGGAACATAGGGTAGAAGGGATGTGATGTAGTAGTGAGTTCCATTTTAGTTAGTATTATTGAGGTCGGGATTGGTGGTGTATATCAGATGGAGGAATTGGGGAAAAAGTGTTAGCTTTGTCGAGATCGGTCATGTCCCATGACCCGTCGTCTCGATGAAGGGGAGGGGACGGAATGTGTTTCTTTAGGATCTTTTGTTGGCTAAACACAAGAACCTATCGAATAGGTAAGAGCTGAAGGTATTGTTGTGATGTATTTATAATTATTTTTACGATGTGGGATAATGTATTGAAGGCTTGGCGGTCGGATGCCTAGATATCTAAAAGGCTCTGGTTTGCCGCTTTAGGGACAGTAGGTTTAAAATGTGGCAGAGGTTTGGATTGTATGTGTGTCTTGGTAGAAATGCCAAGGTGTGCCCTGTAAAATTAAAGTGAATTAGAATAGATTTTCTATTATTTTTTTCCAGAACGCTTATAGACAGTACGAAAGCGCGATGACGACGGCGTGTCACATGGGCGACCGCCTGTGCCAGATGGAGGCTATGGACGGGGCAGCCAGGTGCTTGGAAACACTCCGTTTACAGCATAAAATATGCAACTGCAGGCCTCTTGAGTTCAACACGAAGCTGCTCGAAGTTGCCATGACGATCGGCGCGAAGGTATTACAAAAAACAAAAGAAAAAACAGTACAAAATTGTCCAATTTTTTACAACCCCTGTTCCAGCTGTTGATAAGGACAATCAGAGTAAGGCTATGCAGGATTTATCAGAGTTTAGGGGATGAAGAACACAGGAACGAACATGCAGGGGCGGCTCAAAGGATCGAAGAGGAACTCGAACTGCAATGCGGTGCGTGCAACTTGCCTTTTGGCTACGACGCTGACAGCCTGGAAGCATTACCCTGCGCTCACATACTTCACGCAAGGTACATTTTTAAAAATAAATATACCAAAACATTTTAAAACTTTCAGATTTTATCTTTTAAATGTGCAACAGCATCAATATTTCAAATTATATAAACTTTATTTTTTTTTTTTATATTGCTATTAAACCCAAGACATATAACTACCAACTACTTTTCCATTGTTTACAGTTATTTTTATCTTCAGTTCTTGATTTTTTTATACTGTTTTTACGATGTTGTTTCATTCTTGGTGCAAACTTTCATCGTATATTTCAAAGATCCTCTCTCATATTAGCTGTTTGCATTTATCGATAAATTCTACACGTTTAAATATTGTTCTTTATTTTTTTAGAGTTTATAGTAAAGCAATTGATTTTATATTGTATATCGAACTCGTTTAAGCCAGGGTTGTGATGGATGAAAAATACAAGTTTTTTTTCTGTATTTTAATCCTCGCTAAAAATAAATTGCATAAAACGCAGTTGATGTATTGAACCTACCGCCTTTGAAATGTTTCTTTTTAAAAATTCTTTTCTTTTTATTTACTCATAGAGACAAACAAAAGCTGAAATAATAGACGGAAAAAGAACAGACCGGAGTCATTATTTTCACTGAGATACGCGATATATGCTGAACCCTGACTGGGGCCCAGTTGTCACGTTCTGCTGAACGTGTGCCGCCTACGAGGCGATTCGAACTTAGCAGAAGCTGCTGAAAAAAAATTGTTATTCATCGCGGGAAGAAAACTGAAAGTCATCCATGTTTGCCTAGTTGCCTAGTCATCGTTGATTATAATTTTACGTTTTACATTTACAAAATTGTAGGACTGTAAATCTTACGAACTGTGATATTTCTTATTGAGGTACGTAGACTGATAAAAAAAGAAAAAACAACACTTTATTTTTGAGGTATGCAGTGATTAAATAGCATATATTAAATAGACTCTGCAGTTGGTACTACTGAAGAATGCGAAATGCCAAAATGCGTGTGGTAAGTGCCATATTGTCAGTAAAAATAAGGCAGTCTAGGATGGACCGAGAATGACGAAATGAAGTCATTAATAGTAACATTTTGTCAGGTCTAAGAGATATTGAAATAATACACAGACCAATTACTAAAGAAAGCAAAATACAGAAACTAGCCTGATATATCAAATCAGTAAAGATAGGGCATACTAGAATGACCGCAAACGACCAAACTGAGTTATTAATTTTGGGATTTCTTGTTGAATTTTGTCAAATATAAAAATAACACTAACACCAACTACTTAAGCGCTTGTCAAGGGTCATAACACATCAGTGAAAATAGGGCATCTAGTATGACCGAGAATGACGAAATGAAGTCATTAATAGTAAGATTTTGTCAGGTCTAAGAGGTATTGAAATAACACACAGACCAATTACTAAAGAAAGCAAAATACAGAAACTAGCCTGATATATCAAATCATTAAAGGACAAACTAGGATGGCCGCAAACAACCAAAATGCACTAATAATTTTGAGATTTCTTGTTGAGGTCTGTAAAATAATAAAATGACATACATACCAACTACTTAAGCGCTTGTCAAGTGTCATAAGACATCAGTGAAAATAGGGCAGACTAGGATGGCCGAAAACGACCAAACTGCATTATTAATTAATCTTTATGTAAGGTATTGGTTGAAATGAAAAAGTCAGTGTCACGAGCAGGATTCGAACCCACGACCCTCGGCTAAATACGCCGCAGCTCTAACCACTTGAGCTATCGTGACTTCGATCCAATCGGACACCAACTCCCCATCTCAAATTCGAAAGGTAGGTTGTGATGGAGATGGGGGAGGTGGTGTCCGAGTGGATCGAAGTCACGTTAGCTCAAGTGGTAAGAGCAGCAGCGTATGGGATGGGGATGGGGAGGTGATGTGCGCAGCGGCGTATTGAGCGGAAAGTCGTGGGTTCGAATCCCGCTTGTGACACTAGCTTTTTATTTCAACCAATACCTTACATAAAGATTAATTAATTGAAAGAGGTTATTTGGTCAATCGGACCGCGAAATCTAATGAATTTAATGAAATTAAGGTTTAATCGTTTATTTGCTTTATGATGTTGGCGTGGCTACGGCTGAGTTTGCAGGTATCTCTTCTGGAATTAATGCTGCGTGTGTCTCTGTTAATGTAAACTATTTCTAGAAAGTTGCGTTTGTATTTTTTTTCCGTGTTTAGCATTTATATTTTGTCGAAATCCAAGTTTTGTTGTTTTTCAAAGTGGCGTGTGGCCAATGCTGTGGAATTGGTTTTTGATGTTTTACAATCATAGATGTGTTGTTTTTCCGTTTTTCTAGATATTGCGATGTAATTCTAATATATGCAGCTGAACAGTTCATACAATTAATTTAAATGTGTTATAAATTAAATTATGACCCACAAGATTAGCACCACACTTTATATGAGTACGAAATATTCGGTTCAAAATTTATATTTACATCTTAAATTCAATTTTGTCCAATCGACATATGTTTTATAATTAGCAACTGTTGCTTGTTTAGGCAGCACCTACAAATCAACGGATTTTCTTAATAAAATGTAGAAAAAACAAGACCCTGAAGATGGCCCGAATAAAGGTCGAAACGTCGACAAAAATATGAAAAACGTGTTTTTCTAAACCACCTCATTCTTGACCCGTCTTCACGACTTCAAAAAATTGTTTGGATAATGATGAAAGTGTTGATAGCCATCATTTTGACTGCATTGTATAATTCAAACGTACTTGATGTAAATAACATCTTTCAATTAATTATTCTTTTTATGTAACGTCTCCGTTCGAGAGCGGGTTTCGAACCAACAACCTTCTGCTCGTGGCACTAACTTTTTCATCTCAACTTAGATCTTAGATAAAAATAATAATTAACTGATAGACATTAATGATAAACTAAGTGAATGTAGTTAGTGATAAGGCATGGTCAGTCGGACAGATTTGTCAGTGCATTTTGGATGATGGCGAACAATTTTAATATAATAATAATAAGTTTATTGCACAAACACACGAAGAAAAACAAAATTACAGACAATTCAAACAAGAAAATAAACTTAATTCGGCAAGGTAACCGTCTGCCGGAGTTTGGATTAATTATTAACTAAGTCCTATAAAGTAAAAATACAAATGCATTAAGCTAAATAAATACAATGATATGCTAAATGTAATATTTATAACAAAATATTAATTAATAAACTAAATATTTGCCAATGCATCGGTAGTATATTAATAGAAATAACCAGAGTATGAATAATACATAAAATAAGACATATATAAACTAAACTCAAGTCCAAAACAGAATAAAGAAACAGAAAGAGGACACAAAATTGAGAAGTAAAAATCAGGGAACCAGAGCTGAGACCGGAGAAACAGAGGTATCAAATAACAAGAGACAGAGCGGGGAATGGAGATAAGTAGTAAAAAAAAAATACTCAGTTAAATTCATTAGACTTCGATAAGCCCAGGCCGCTTTTGTATAATTGACTAAGTGCGTCCATTCTGGTACGTTGAGCAACTTTATAAGTCTGTCCATTGACTAGGTTCTTTCGCCGAACGCAGACAAACTTTAGGAAGATAGAATGGGGCATACCGCGACAAAATAGAATATGTCTTCCTTTACCCGGTAATTGCATCACACACTCCTGTTGGCTGAGGAGATCATACGGCTTATGCCGAAGGTTCAGCAATTTTCTCCTCAGTTTTAGAATCCAACGTATGTCTGTAATGTTCTTATTTGGTTTTTGGACCCCAACCAAGCACATATGACATCAACGGGATGCCTGCACTCTCTCTATGTTGCTAACTATAAAACTGTCCTTCAGTCGACTAATAATTGACTGGAGTTGAAGGGAAAGAGCCTTACTTTCGGGTGGGAAAAAGGACAAACCTACTCCCTCTCCGCCAGTCTCCCCCAGTCAGCAGCCCATGATATCCCCAGCTTGACGACCTCTTTAGCCACTATACGCGGAAATCTGGAGTGGTCCATTCGGAGCACCTTAACCAAACGACCACTCGGAGTCAACGTGAATAGAAAGATAGGGTGAAGGCCAGTTTCAATGTGCAGTATGTAAATTGGGGTGTAGTTTGGAAGACAGACAGTTTTCGTATGAAAAACCACAACACTCTCTCCACCTCCACGAATTCCTCTGATCCCCACACTTGTGCAGCATAACACAGAATTGAGCGTGAGACCGCGTTAAAGATGTGCAGCTTAGCCTTTAGCGGGATCTGGAGCAGCATCATCGCTCCTCGCCAAACAACAATTTTACCAGTTGCCATATCCATTTTCAATAAAATTAAATTTATATATCAAACATTATTATTCTATTCCAAAAATGCACCTGTTCATGAATGTATTGATGAAGGGTTATCTCAATTGCTAACTTTTGCTTCTGACGAAGCACAAACTTTATTTTTTTATTTTATTTTTTATTTCAGATGTGCCCACGACCTTCTGAGGAGGAGGGACAAGAAGAAGAAACGCTCTTGCCCCGATTGCGAGCGTTCCGTCAGCTCTCGTCTTTACCTCCAGTGCGAAGATCCTCACACGCCGCACCACTCGACCTTCTCGCTGTCTTCGCAGCAGCTGCACGTCTCCAGCAGCGTCTAGCGGTTAACCAGCCTCTAAGAGGCGAAAAGACATTTCGAATTTCGTTGGACGAGAGGAAAATGTGACGATTCGGAAATTTTTACAAAAGCCTAGGAGAAATTCTTCTGACCGTCTTAGAAATAGCTGACCTGATTTTCGATCAGACAATTATCAAAGAAAACGAAAAAACCCGGCGAATAGAGAAAATATGATGAATACAAAATTCAGTCTAAATCAAAAGACGGAAAATTTCAGTCTCAGGAGTTAATACAGGGTGATACGAGAGTTTTAAGGCAGTATATCGTGACAAAGATCAACAGATAAGACAACTATTATTAAATTTTGGGACGGATTTTTTTTTTCAAAAATTAATATTACTTTGTATATTGGAACTTTAATCTTCCGACTGTCTTAAAAAGATAAAAAACTAAACATGCTTTAACTGAACCCTTTATAATAATTAATAGAATGGACCCGTCTATACAGGGTGACTGGCGATAAATGTCGAAAATTTCAGGACACTCACATCCAACAAAAAACTTCCTATAAACCCCTGTCCAAGTAACTTGTGTGGAGTAACTTCAGGTTTATTTTTAATTTTTCGACACAAGACTCATGAGTCAGACGGATTTCCTGGAAAAAGTGAATGTGCCTCCCCTTCATCGTCACCAGTTTTTTCCAGCAAAATGCAAAATTTTTGAGCCTTCTAGAAACGCAATTCAAAAAGGTGAGTATACCGCTGGAAGCTAATTGAACGAAGAACTTTTGAGGGAATTTGCAAAGCTCCAGGAGTTTCTAGTTATTAACAGTTACCAATCAAACATTTTAAAAAAATTCCAAATTTCAACAGTTTTGTTTTTCGAATTTTTCCTGAAGAATATTTTCAACAATTCTGCAATGTAAATAGGTTTCCTCACAGCGAATTTAATATTCTTTCAAGTGGCACAAACCAGATTTTTCAACATTCAGTAATTCTGAAGTTTATAAGCAGTTTAGTGGACATAAGTCGAAAAATTACAAAAACACAAAACTTGAAATTACTTATTTACCGTTGAGATTTGGACAGGGGTTTATAGGAAGTTTTTTGTTGCCTATGGTGAGTAGAAAAAAAATCCTGAAATTTTCGACACTTGTCGCCAGTCACCCTTTATATAGATGACCCTTACACTGTTTTTCTATTAGCAATTTTAAAGATTTAGAGCCAGTTTTAAAACCAACTTTTAAACATTTCAATCAGTTGTTAAAGGAAAAAATACACGTCAAAATTGCATTTTCAGGCAGATCCAAAACGGTATAAAATACAAATTCTTTTTTAATTTTTTATATCAAAGATGAATTAAAAAAGAGCCAGTTATCTATCTTATTTATTCATTTTAATGCGTAAAAATTTTGCAATTTTTTTACAAAATGGATTCTCGATGATTCACGTACTTTTACACTATAGCTCGTTTAATAAAAAAAAGCACAACCAGCAGTGTAATACAACAATTACGGCTTAATAAAAATATTTTTGGACAGCTTTTTCGTAAATTAGGCATTTTAACATAAATTTGCCTGTACATGATTGTTCTTCATAGAAATCAGACAACAACTATACAGAACTTTGATGTTTGACTTGGTTCACCGTTAAATTAAATCTTTCAATTAATTAATCTTTATGTAAGGTATTGGTTAAAATAATAAAATCAGTGTCACGAGCGGGATTCGAACCTTTGGCTAAATACGCCGCTGCTCTACCACTTGAGCGATCATGTGTCGCCGAGAATCGAATCCTGATTATACGACATTTGAAAACATCGCAAAAAGGAGGGAAAATTCAAAGGTTGGTTGAGATAGTAAGTTGATGTCCGAGTGGATCGAAGTCACGATCGCTCAAGTGGTTAGAGCAGCGGCGTATCAAGCCGAAGATCGTGGGTTCGAATCCCGCTCTTGACACTGATTTTTTTATCTCGACTAAAAACCTTAATTCATTGAAAAATTATTTGTAGTATTCATTTAAAAATTTCCCATTATTTTTTTAACGGCATCGATTAATCCAAATGGAAATGCGATAAATTTAAAAGTCTAATCTATTTTAATTACTTTTATCAAATAGATTACTCATTTGAAAATTGGTAAAAAGGAGGGAAAATTCGAGAGGTGAGGTCGAGATAGGAAGTTGGTGTCCGAGCGGATCGAAGTCACGATAGCTCAAGTGGTAGAGCAGGTATCTAGCCGAAGATCGTGGGTTCGAATCTCGCTCGTGCCATTAACTTTTCTTCATCTCAACTAAAAACCTTAATTAATTGTAATGTATTAATTGGTCAAGCAGACCACGAAATTAGTGAATTTAAAGGACTTATTTTTAATCCATTATCTGATGGATCCAAATTAGCAGTTTGGTATGTCACAAAAGAAATCAGAGCTAATAAGTGTCGTCAAATTTTCCTTGGCCAATTTATCAGCTGCTTGATTACCCTGGTACCCAGACAAGGGTAATTTTGTGGTTTTCCTCTAATGCAATCCCAAAAGACTGGACTTTACTTCTAATGCGGTAATTGACCTCAGTGTTGCCTGGCTCCATTCTTCTGGTAATGATTCTAGCATTTTATTTCCTTGGCAAAGTGTTCAGTATCCAGTCTGCTTGAAAGGCAATGGCATATGGCCTAAAGGCTAAGTATTCTAGTCTTTGGTTTATTTCCATAAATAACAGCTCCTGACCCATACTTGGGTCCAACTACCTATACCATATAATGGTTATCTTCCTCTCCCAGTCTGCTCTACCAGGTATTCTAGTTTGATTTTTTTCTGATTTTGGGAGTCATGGCAATATTCAGGCATAAAAACCTGTCTGCTTGATTTAGTTTTTTATGTCATTAAGCTATTGGAGCATGTCCCTGGATAAAGACACTACAGTGTTCAGGACATCCAGAAGAGCAGCAGGGGTCGTTCTCGTTGCCATGTTGTCTAGAAAGAGCATGTAATTTAAATAGTATGAATGGAGGTCTTGGGTTCGAATCCCGCTCGTGACACTGACTTTTTTTATCTCAATCAATACCTTACATAAAGATTGAAAGAGGTTATTTGGTCAATCGGACCACGAAATCTAACGGAGTTAAATTAAATTATAAATAAAGGAATTTTAGAAACAATCGTTTCACCTTGCCTTAGTCTTTGAGGCACACTGATAGAGTCTCAATTTTGTATTATATCTCGGACACAATTTGAATTTGAATTGTGCATTACACGAAATCCAATTTATAACCCTCCCTTGGGATACATCGCGTGTAAAGTTGTTTGCGATTTAAATGGAAAAGTTTTTTTTTGCGAATATCAAGGGCTATCGTAATATACTTAAAATTATATATTATCGCAAAAAGGATTTGTACCTAGCTAATAGAGTCCAACAGAATAGCTAAAAAATTCACTACCGTAGATTTAAATACAAACGAAAATCGTTTTCAGTGTTAAAAGCAAGCGTGTATTAAGAATTTGCTCAAGCCGATGCAACATAGTGTGTTAAGGAATTTCTGAGTCATATCTTTAATGAAAACTGCCAAAGTTATATTGTATCGAAAGGGATGCTCACTTTAAACTTAAAGAAGAGAAGTATGATAAATAAAATATAACAAAATGGGAAAAAAATTAAACAATTATCGTCATAGAGACTTAGTAATGAAGAAAAAAAACACTTCGTGACGTTTAGTCTAAATTATATATTTAAAGAAAAAACATTGCAAACTCTTTCTTACTGAGTAAAATTGTAAATATTATTTCAAATTTATACAATTATTTATAGGGAAATAGAATATTGATAAATTTTTCAATGATGCTGCTTTGGAAAGACGAAGTTAATGAAAAATTCAATGAAATCATTAACTGACAAAAAACTTCAGGTATATGACAAAAATCGAGATAAGGTAAAGGAGGAAGTGAAAAAAGGTTGCCCCATAATTTAATTGTCTTAACAATGCCGAAAGTTTAAACGATAAAAAATTTTTCACACAATCGAACTGTGAGAACGTAGAAATAAATCATTACCAAGACATTTTATACAAGTATAAATATTAACAGTAAATTTTTTCAGGATTACTTATCAGGACGAAAACAGATATTTTTTCTCTGCTTTTATCATTTTTACAGCTTTATTTAATGGATCAATTATGGAAACCATGTGTCATGCCCAAGGCTGGCAATTCTTCCATCATATTTTTCGCTGGGCCATGTTGCAGCATCATTGTTAATTTTTTTTTTTGAAATCGCAAAAACAAAAAACTATAAAACTTAATTCGGCTCAGAAGGCTTTGTGATTTATTCCAGTGCCAAAATGGAAAAGACGTGTAGTGATTTAACAGATATATTATATAATGAAAAATATATAAACGTATATTATTGTGTTTAGACAATCAATACGTTGGCTTGTTAAACTTACAATCGTGAAATGTGATTTATTAAATCTTTCAGTTCTGCGCGTATATTTAAACAAGTGAAATACACATTTTATGTCACGTTGAATGGTCATATTGTGAATAGTGTATGTATATAATATGTGAAACGGATATAACAAACATGTAAGTTATTGTTGAATAATGAATGAAAAAAAATTAATATAATTATATTATAAAACATAAAAAAATTGTAATTTTGTCTTCTTTGTCCTAAAGTTGTAAACACATTATAAAATTAGTTTGTATAGTAAAGTATAGTTTTTATAGTAGTATTAATATTTTTATATTATTTCAGTTCAGTATTGTTAAAGAGAACGAATGAGATACAGATAGAGGTAGATAGGNAGAGAAAGGGAGTGAGAAAATGAGAGCCGAGAGCGTTGCAAAAATACAAAAATTAAAAGAGAGAGAGAAAAGGAGAGAGAGAGAATTTGAGAGAGAAAGAAAATGAGAGCTGAGAACGTTGCAAAAAAATACAAAAATTAAATGAGAGAGAGAGAAATTGAGAGCGAGAAAGAGAGAGACAAAATAAGAGCGTAGGACGTTGCAAAAAATACAAAAATTAAGAGAGAGAAAAAGAGAGAATATGAGAGAGCGAGAGAGAGAGTCTGAGAGAGAATAATCACCGCAGAAGTTGCAAAAAATACAAAAATTAAAAGAGATCGGGAAAGTGAGAGAGAGACAAAATGAGAGCGAAGGACGTTGCAAAAAATACAACAATTGAGAGAGAGAATAAGAGAGAAAATGAAAGAGTGAGAAAGAGAGGGAGAGAGAATATATAATCACCGAAGAAGTTGCAAAAAATACAAAAATTGAGAGAGAGTGAGAGAGAGAGATAGAGAGAGAGAGAGAAAATGAGAGCCGAGGAAGTTGCAAAAATACAAAAATTGAGAGGGAGAGAGTGTGAGAGAGGGGGGACCTCACAAAGACAACCTGCACAGATTTTTGTTGTATAAACTGTCAACTTCAAACTGATGATGAGCGTTTAATGCTTGAAATTCAAATCGCTGAAAACAACAAACCGTGAGTAGGAAATATCTTTTAAAAAGTATAAACAACATACTCACTCCACTTTTATTATTTCAGGGTGGATTTGGCGTTAAAGTTTTAAAGAACTGAAAAAATTCCAATGGAGGACCAGAAGCTCTGAGAGAGGGTGGTAGGGACGGAAGGAAGAGATGAGCTATGCCGTGTTTTTGCTCGTTTTTTACTTCCTTCTCCGATTATCTTGTGGAATAGGTCCTTGAGAGAAAGGGTGGGAGGCGTCGTTTATAAACGTTCTCACCTTCCAGCCAGTTTCCAGTACGCAGGATGTCTCTTAGGCCGTTGATCCTTCTTACCTTCCTCTTCGTCCTCGCCACATCCTTCGAAGTGCCGAAGGGGATCGCGTTCGACATAGACGTCGACAGCGTGCTCAACAACAAACGGCTCCTCGATGCTTACACCAAGTGCTTCCTGGACAAAGGGCCGTGCGCGGGTGCACCCAGGGAAATGAAAAGTAAGCCCTGCCAATCGAACAAGATATATTTTTTCTAAGGGTTTTTCTCAGCAGAAAGTACGATACATCAAAAAATTCCTGTTCCTTTAAAAATTAGATAGATTGAAATAAAAAATCTTCTCTCCCGTTTTCCAATTGAAAGTTGTTCTTCTGTGATTTGATATTTTCCATACTGTTGACTGTCATGATAACTAACGAGAACAAAATCTAAACATAGCAATATCATAACTATTAACAGAAATATGCGTGTTATGCAGAGTTTAACTAGATTTAAATTAAATTCGTCCTTTTTTGGTTTAAAACAGGCAATTTCAAAAGAGTAGATGGTTGAATTTAACTGTAGAGATGTAGAAACGTTGTCCTACAGAAACAGCGAGAATAGGCGGACCAGAGTCATCAGAAACGCAAAAATCTTATGTTTACAAACTATCTTGCGTGTTTTAAATACAAATGAATGAAAATGGTTCTTGTTTTGAGTTTAAAAGTGTTCAAAAGACTCATTCTCCTGATTTTCCCACAGTCTGATTATCTCTGATCGTTCGGACCCGTCGGTTATCCCTGAATTGAGCTAGTTTCGCGAAAAGGACACGAAATCGTCGATTGCCTTGGATTTCCAAGGATTCAAAAGTGTCCTATATTAATTTAACTACAAATTGGGAGATATTCTTTTGAAACTATAACAAAACTACAGTTCAACAATTTTTCTCCGGTTTGATCATCTCTGATCATCAAGATCCGCCATTTATTACAGATACGAGCCATCATCGCAACGTAAAGAGAGAAATTGGCCGTTCGCGATGGGTTTCCATAAGTTTAAAAGTGTCGTGGATAAATAAGAGTAAACGGACTTATATTCCCTAGGGTCGATCATCTGGATCAGTCAACTATCATAGAAATGTGTATCAGTCGTGGAAATGTTAGATATTCGTCGATTTCCTTGGGTTTCCAAGGGTTCAAAAGGGCCCTGGATTAATTTATGTATTAAGTTAGAGGATATTTTTGAGAAGGATAATAGAACCCTAATCATCGTATCGTTTTCTCATAATCGATCAAACCCTAATCATTAAGATCTATCAAATATTACTGAAAATGAGCATCAATCGAGAATATGTCGGGAATTTGCCCTGCCTTAAGTTTCCAAAGGTTCAAAGTATCCAGGCTTAACTGAACCACAAAATTAGAAGAAACTCTCCATATAAGGTGTGTGGTGATTAGTGACCGTTAATCGATATTTATTTAGAAATCGTGAGATGCGCTCTGGTGTGATGTAGGTTTCAGAAAACATTTTCTTTATCGTGCCTACGTTTCGATCTTTATTAAGATCATCTTCAGGGCTCAAAGTGTTTGCCTTCTGTGTAATTGTGCCATTCTTGCGTGTCGTGCTGAGGGCACTCTCGACTTTGGGCCCTGAAGATGATCTCAATAAATATCGAAACGTAGGCACGATAAAGAAAATGTTTTTCTGAAACCTACATCACACCAGACCGCATCTCACGATTTCTAAATAAATATAAATCTCCATATAACCAAAGTAAAAACTAGAGATAGTCTTATTGTCCCGAAGTGGATCATTTCTGATCATTTTCGGTCCACGAACTGGGATGAACCAAGAAGATCGATCAGCGTATGCCTTTGCAAATCAAAATCGGCAAAAAATAACGTTGATATTTTAAAAAGTATGAACTATTTTACCAGTCTGAGTCTGAATTTGAGCTTATTCTGGAAAATTTGTTTATCATTATTTGTCCTTGGTTTCTGTTTTGTTTAACACAATCAACATTGGGCTTCATAGGAAAAATTTCGATTATAATAAATATTTTAAAAAAAATGAATAAAAAAATGTCCTTGGTTGTTGTTTTGTTTATACGATGTTCGAACAAGTTTCTCCCAATTGAAAAACAGTCTGACGACTTATTTATTAATTTCGGAATGAAATTCCACCCTTTTAGAAAATATAATGGACCGTGCCCTTTGTCGCCCCATGGAATTCATTCCGTGTTTCAATCAAGATTTATTATTGCATTTTATTATTGTTTTAAAGATTATTTATTATTTAGCAACATTTCAGGACCGCCGTGTAATTAATTTGCGCTTTTAACTACGGAGAAGCGACCCGATAGCAAGTTGACTAAGAGAAGAAACCGAAAAAAGTTCAATTTTAGCTAAATATAAAAATATATGCCATTTGATGATTTGATTTCATCCGAAAAACCTTTTGGGTATTTTTCTTCTAAAGTTTCATTTATAACGAAAAAGATTAACGCTTTGATTTTAAAAAAAAAACAATGGTTTAGCTTAAAAACTATCCAAGCGACCAGATAGCAAGTTGACTAAGAGAACAAACTGAAAAAAAAAAAAATCAATTTTAGCTTAATATAAAGGTATGATGCCATTTGACGATTTGATTTCATCCGAAAAACCTTTTGGGTTTTTTTCTTCTAAAGTTGAAATTTATAACGAAAAAGATTAACGCTTTTGATTTTCTTAAAAAAATGGTTTAACTTAAAAACCATCCAAGCGACCAGATAGTAAGATGACTAAGAGAACAAACTGAAAAAAGTTCAATTTTAGCTTAATATAAAGGTATACGCCATTTGACGATTTGATTTCATCCGAAAAACCTATTGGGGTTTTTTTTCTTCTCAAGTTTAAAATGATAACGAAAAAATCAACGTTATTAACGCTTTTGATTTTCTTAAAAAAATGGTTTAGCTTAAAAACTATCCAAGCGACCAGATAGCAAGTTGACTAAGAGAACAAACAGAAAAAAGTTCAATTTTAGCTTAATATAAAAGTATATGCCATTTGACGATTTGATTTCATCCGAAAAACCTATTGGGGTTTTTTTTTCTTCTAAAATTTAAAATGATAACGAAAAAATCAACGTTATTAACGCTTTTGATTTTCTTAAAAAATGATTTAGCTTAAAAACCATCCAAGCGACCAGATAGCAAGTTGACTAAGAGAACAAACTGAAAAAAAATCAATTTTAGCTTAATATAAAGGTATGATGCCATTTGACGATTTGATTTCATCCGTAAAACCTATTGGGTTTTTTTTCTTATAAAGTTTAAATTTATAACGAAAAAATCAACGTAATTAACGCTTTTAATTTTCTTAAAAAATGATTTAGCTTAAAAACCATCCAAGCGACCAGATAGCAAGTTGAAGCTTTTAGATGAAAAAACCATTAATTTTTTTCTCAAATGAGCAACTGTTTCAATTGAGAGTTCAGATTGATTTGTAACAATGACAGAACAAGTATAAATTACAAGGTGTTTTTTTTTTTTAATTATAAAATAACCCCCAACAGTCCTAAACCGGATTTAAGTCCGTCTACCAAGTTTGAAAGTTGTACCCCAGTTTCTTTGGCGAGTCATTGACATTTCAATGCTGTGTCATAAGACAAACGGCCTCATTGTGCTAATTTCGTTTAACTTCGGAAGGATCAATCTCGACGTACAGTTATGAGGACAATGGCTGAATAGGATAATCAAGAGATCCACGGCCAAGGATGAAAAGCTTTTGCCAATTGATAAAAGTTTCAAATTAAAGGATGAATTCACTTTCAAAATATGCAAATTGAGTTCCATTCCAAATAAAAATGAACCGAATCGACTTAATCTTACCTTCTTTTATAACCATTTGTCATCCCTGATAAAACAAATCTTCATAATTCTATGCAACAGCGTGAAATTATTTGATTGTCTTTGTTACGACCTGTTTGCCGATGAGAAAATTAAAATCTTTTAACAAAAAACTTAATTTGTGGTACTTAAATTCTTAGATTTTGTTTTTAAATAATTGAATGACGATGAAGAACTATTGAAAATTAGTGTTTAACACGTTTGAAAAGTTTCATTTGAACTTTGTACCGGCAAAAACACCAGTAATAACCGTTAAAAGACGGGAGAGAGTATTTGTAAAAGGAGTTTGGATATATTTCATAGCTGAAGTGAATTAACAGAAAATTTTTTTTTTATCTTTTAATAACAAAATCGGACCGGAGAAAGCCACTTTCACTACTTTCTACCAGTAGGTGAGAAATAATCTTCGTCTCTTTCTTGTTTGAGACATTGGAAATGTATCGCTTTGGGTGGCACTTCGTGACGTGACCGTCCCATGCCACACGTCCGCGTCGTACAGCTTCAAGAAACAATGCCGGACTTCAAATTACCCTGGAACGGCTCGTGAATACTGAATTTGAATTTTTCTTTTCTTTTCGCCCACCCCAACGTCAAAAGGTTAATCAAGACGAATAATCAAAAGGCAAGTCTCGTCCAGGGGTTTTCTTCTAAGAAGAAGTCATAAATGACAAATGATAAAACTTGACAAACTGAGCTCTAAGACGGTAAAACATAAGTTTTATTATGGAAAAAGTTTTTAATTCTACAATCCTCTTTCTTAAAGCGGGCGAAGTTTCACAAAGGGACTTTTTGCCTAATCTGACATGGCGACAGCTCATGATAAATCAATGGTTTTGCAGTTAATTATCTTAAAAATAAACAAAAGGCTTTTTATTGAACATAACTAAAACATAAATGCATATTTATTTGCAGAAAAACAACATTATACGAGAATAAAGAACTTAGAACTTGAAGCTTGAACTTGAAGAGAATGAGGAGCGTGAGAGAACAAAAACAAAAACCGAAACTCTGTGAGTGAAAGGAAAGGAAGGGAGTGAGAGAGAGAGAGAGAGAGAGAAAGTGAGAGAAAGAGCGGGGAGGGAGAGAGAGACTCACAAATATAAATTTCACAGACTTTGTTTTAGATACAAATAGAAAGAGAAACAGTGAAAAATATAACAAGAGAAAAACAGAAGCTCTGTAGGTGGAATGAATGGAAGAGAGAGAGAAAAAAGGAGGGAGAGAGAGAAAAAAAAGGAGGGAGAGAGAGAAAAAAAGGAGGGAGAGGGAGAGAGAGAAAGAGAGAGAGAGAGAGAGAAAGAGAGAGACTCACAAATATAAATTTCAGAAAGAGACCAGGGGGGTTCAGTAAGAGAGAAATAAAAAGAGAAAGTGTGAGAGAGAGAGAGAGACTCACAAATATAAATTTCAGAAAGAGACCAGGGGGGTTCAGTAAGAGAGAAATAAAAAGAGAAATTGAGTGAGAGTGAGAGAGAGACTCACAACTATAAATTTCAGAAAGACAGAGGGGGCAGTAAGAGAGAAAATAAAAGAGAAAGTGAGTGAGTGAGAGAGAGAGAGAGAGAGAGAGAGAGAGAGAGAGAGAGAGAGAGAGACTCACAACTATAAATTTCAGAAAGACAGAGGGGGGCAGTAAGAGAGAATTAAAAAGAAAAATTGAGGGAGAAAGAGAAAGAGAGAGAGAGAGAGAGAGAGAGAGAGAGAGAGAGACTCAAAAATATAAATTTCAGAAAGACAGAGGGGGGCAGTAAGAGAGAATTAAAAAGAAAAATTGAGGGAGAAAAAGAGAGAGGGAGAGAGAGAGAGAGACTCACAAATATAAATTTCAGAAAGACAGAGGGGGACAGTGAGAGAGAAATAAAAAGAGGAAGTGGTAGAGAGAGAGAGAGAGAGAGAGAGAGAGAGAGAGAGAGAGAGAGAGAGAGACTCACAAATGTAAATTTCACAGACTGTTTTAAATACAAATAGACAGAGGAAGAGTGAGATATAACGAGAGAAAAACAGAAACTCTATGAGTGGAAGGAATGGACGGGAAAGAGACAATGGAGGGATGGAAGGAGGGGGAGAGAGAGAGTGAGAGAGAGAAAGAGAAAAGCAAAAATATCAGCAATAAAAGGCAATCAGTGATGATCAGAGATTATCGAGCTGCTTTAGCTCAGCCTTACTTCAGACACCACCACAATTATAAAATTTTGATAAAGCTTATTTTGAAATACATGCCATCTAAATAGCCTCACCGTAAAAATTCCCAAATGTTAAAATAAAAATGTAGACTTATTCTGAATTAATGTTTAGAAACCGTTTACATATGAAATTTAATTTTCTTTTTCCACAGAAAACTTCGCTAGTATATTCAGCACAAACTGTTCCACATGCACCAAAGTCCAGAAGAAGCAGGTGAGAAGCGCTTTCAACAAGCTGCGCGAGAAGAAGCCGCAGGAGTTTCACAAAATCTTCGAGAAGTACAACCCTGGGAACACACATCTTCAAAGATTTCTGAATTGGCTCAAATCAAACGAACTATGATTTCCGCCACTGTTAAAACTCTAAACTCCTCCCACAATTGAAAAAGAGTCTGTTAATTTATTTTTTACTGTATTTCTTTTTAAATTAAGATTTGTTATTATTTAAATAAATTATACAAGTTTGTATTGGTTTTGTTTTTGTAATTTTATACCAGCGGTATGAAAACGTGGTGAGATTGTTAAAAAAAAAATAGAACAAAAGTTGTTTTCTATAGATACTTTAGTTTTTATATTAAATCTCTAAAATCATTACTGGTCTCCAAAAATTTCAAACAAAAGCATATCAGAAGAACGGTAAGTAGTAAAAAAATAAATAAATAAGTAAATAAATTTAAAAAAATTAAAATAAAAGTTGTGTTCTATAGATATTTTAGGTTTTATATTAAATCTCTTAAATCATTATTTGTCTCACAAAAATTTCAAACAAAAGCATACCAGAAGAACGATAAGTAGTAAAAATAAAAAATTAAAAATTAAAACAAAAGTTGTTTTCTATAGATATTTTAGTTTTTATATTAAATCTCTTAAATCATTATTGGTCTCACAAAAATTTCAAAAAAGCATACCAGAAGAACAATAAGTAGTAAAAATAAAAAATTAAAAAAATTAAAACCAAAGTTGTTTTCTATAGATATTTTAGTTTTTGTGTTAAATCTCTTAAATCATTATTGGTTTCACAAAAATTTCCAACAAAAGCATACCAGAAGAACGATAAGTAGTAAAAAATTTTTTTTAAAAAGTATTGTTTATTTTTCTCACTTAATTGAGTTGATTGAATTATGAAAATATTTAATCTGTACAGGAAATTAAGAATATATGCTCAATAGTATGTATAATTTCAATGGAATAATATGCAAATAATATAATTAAAAAAAATGTTAATAAAATTATTTAAATCCGCAAATAAGTCACTAGATCAAATTGATTGTCGGAATAAATAATTATTATTTTTTATTTTATTAGGTTTCGTGGTCCGTCCTCCACTTGACCAAATAAATTCTTTTCAATTAATTAAGGTTTTGGTTGAGATAAAAACCTTAATTAATTGAAAATAATTATTAGTGTTTGATCATCGTAGTTATTAAAAACTAAGTAGCTCGGTCATCTACGATCACCATGGCTTGACTCTCGTTGGTAGACGAGCACTGCAGACCCTGATCTATCATTATCCTTAGACTTAAATTTGATATGACACATCATACCGACAAAATAGCTCTTAAAATCCCGTTCCATTATGAAGACGATAAGTATTTATTTATGGTGTGTGCTTTTCCTTGAAATTTGACCCTTGTATTACATCGTTTTACTAATTATGAAGACTAAATTCCTGTTTCTTAGAATTATCCGGTGATCAATTGATTAAACATTTATGGATCAGTCAAAAGTTTTAGCGTGCAAGCCGATCTTTATGAAAACTTACAAAAGTTACGAGGAAATTGGACTTTAAGTAAAATTAAGAATAGAATAAACACACTGAACACCCAGTAGCAGTTATTCCATGTTGACAAAGGTTTTTTTTTATTAAGTGATTCTTTTGGATAAAAATTGGATGTGCTTAAAATGATTGAATTCGCAACAAATTCCAGAATTTTTGTCACCTAAGGGTAAAAAGACATTTTTATAATTGGTATAATTTATTTTCAAACACTGCCCTTTGATTGACTTTAGAACAAATATTTAAAGAAACAATTTTGTACATAACTTTTTTTTAAATCAGTTTTGGACCAATACTATTTTCACAAACTATCAAATTGGGCTCTTGTTTCTTCTTCTTCTAAAAGTGAATATCTTTGGGCAGTTGGCATATTTTTCTTGCGCCATCCATGTATTAATACAAATATTTTTAAATACATTTGGAAAATATTTACAAATAATAACCCCATTTTGTTTTAAACTAGTGACAAAATAAATTAAAAATATCAAGTTTCTTTTTACTTTTTTTTTGTAATAGAAAAACATTATATAAATTCAATTTTATTTATAAAATATTTTTATTTACAATCAACTATTCATATAAATTTTTTTTTCAATTATCGCTTCTAAATTGCACATTATTACTTTAATACAATTGGTAAATATTCCATATTTAAGTGTTCATTAAAAAGAATATAATTATTTAACTTAAAAAAAGAGTGAAATAAAATGAATGCCATGAGAATAAATTTATTAACTTTTTTTTTTTCAAGGTGAAGGTGATGCGATGAACATATATCCATCCTAACTCATAAGTCTCTTTTCAAAAGTCCCACTGAAGAATATTAAAAGAAAAACTTCATTTGGCACTTTAATTTTTTACTTTCAATCAATTTCAAAGATTAAATCAAGCCTTGTTTTTATAGTTCATGGTCTACAAGTTTAAACAAATTACTCCATGTTTTCAAAATGTGTTAAAATTGTTATTTAAAAGAAATATTGTTTATGACTTTTTCACTTAAAATAAATAAATAAATAAAATAAAATTGAGTCAATTATTTGGTCTTGATTTTAAAATTTGTTTAATAAATTATTCAGTTTTTAAGAGTAAACTTTAAGATATCTTTATTTTGAATAATATTTTCACCTTGGAAAATTTTTCAAACCATTCAAATGCCACCTTGTTTCCTGTGATTTTGTTAAGTGTTTAAGTGGCTTCAGTTTTTTGTTTGTTTTGTTTTGTTAAAATTATAAAGTAATTATAATTAATTTTAAATTGTTAATGACAATTGGATGAATAGTTTGTAAAAATTAATTCATACTGTGTGTTTCTAAAATGACCTTATCTTCCCACAAAGGGAGTTAAATTTATTTTTGATAAAATAAATCCAATTTCAAGGAATAGTCAATAATACTTACTATTTCAAAACCATAAAACACTTTTGAAAAGACAAGTATTGCAACGCAAGCATATAAAATACTATATATTTTAGAGAAAAAACAAAAAGAAAAGAAAAGACGATTTACTAAAAAAAAAGCTAATAATAAAATAAAAGATTTAAAAATAAAAACATGGATTTACAAATTTCTTTTTTTTACATTTTATTATTTTATTGACAATATCTTCACCTTTTCTCATGCGTAATATCATTTTTTTTTATTTTTTAGTGTGTGTGTTTTAAATCGATTTCTTTAACAATAAATAGTTTCACAGCCGGCGAAAATAAAGTTTAAAAAAATAAATCATTGAAATCACGGGAGGGCCGGTTTGACTTCAAGTAGTTGCGGATAGTTGTCGACAATGTTAAGAAGGATTCCGTCGATGTACCGCCGAAGCTGGGCATTCACCTCCTGCTGTTCTTTCAGCATGATTCTCACCTGAAAACAACAGACGAGACATAAATATCGACTAAAAACAATTCATTTATTGCAAATTAAACTCAACAGCAATAATAAGACCTGAACAAACCGTAAATTTTTATAGGGTAAAAAACAAGATTGAAATTTTGTTTTGAATGTTTTTTATATATATCTTCTGTAAATAAATGAAGTAATAAGAAAAAATCTGATAATTCTGTATTTAGTTTGGAAACCTGGATAATTTTTGGAATCAGTATAAATTTGATTTACAATTAATTAAGGTTTTCAGTCGAGATAAAAAAGTCAATGGCACGAGCGGGATTCGAACCCACGATCTTCGGCTTGATACGCCGCTACTCTACCACTTGAGCTATCGTGACCTCGATCCACTCGGACACCAACTTCCCATCTCAACCACACCTTTTGAATTTTCCCTCCTTGGTGTGGTCGAGATGGGAAGTTGATGTCCGAGTGGATCGAGGTCACGATAGCTCAAGTGGTAGAGCAGCGGCGTATCAAGCCGAAGATCGTGGGTTCGAATCCCGCTCATGCCATTGACTTTTTTATCTCGACTGAAAACCTTAATTAATTGTAATATATTACTTGGTCAAGCGGACCACGAAACTAATGAATTAAATTTGATTATTAAATTATTTAAACGTCTTTTAAATTGTATAATATAATATTTCTATGCTGTGAGATTTCCTCCTGATGAACTATAGTTTGTTAGTTACCTTGGTCTGCTCATTCTCTCTGATTTCGTCTGTCAGACGCATTTTGACATTTCGTCATCTTCAGTGTTGAATTTGGGGGATTTCTGTCGACTCAAGTATCAGTCAACTCGTAACAACAACACTGAAGATGGTGAAATGCGTCTAACAGACAAAATCAGCGAGGATAGGCAGACCAAGATGATAGGTAATTATCAAACTTTATTTCTACGCTGTTTGATATTTTCTCACCCTAGAAAACACTTTTTCACACTAGTGTTTTTTGTGATATACAGATTTTAAAATTGTACTTCCTCTTCATTCAAATTGAAATAAATTAAAAATTAAAACAGTACAAATGTTCTTGGCAGTTATCATGTTTAACATAATAATCTTTTAACACCAGGTTCAGACAAGAGTGATAAGATACATCTTAAGCCACAAGTGATATACGAAAATTATCTTGCATTTCTTGGTTAGGGATGTTTAAGGTTAGTTATGACCTTCTGGTCTCTTTCATAGTTCCATCTGTTTTTACGGCATTGCAAAGAGTAAAATAAATTCTGCATATCTGCATTGTTTAAGTATTGCCCCTTGTAGTTGCAAAAAGTAATTCTGTATCTGCCGCTGCGAATTGTGGAAATGTTCGCAGATGCAACATCGAGCATCACTGGTACAACGGTAAGCAAGATCCTAGGCTCATACAATTTTCCTTCTCGAGTTAGAATGAAGTTATTAGTTGAAGCAGCTTTTATGATTTTATGGCACACTTGTTACAAGTGATATTACGAATGACGGTGTTCTAGAAACGCTAGAAATTTAGTGAGCGTGTCAAAAGTATTTTCACACTTTTCCTACGTCTAGTTAGCCAAAACATGGAAGTTCTTTTTTCCAACACTTTTTTCAGTAAGGCCAAATCAAGTACAGGAAAGAGGGAATGCTGGAGAACCATCAGGCAATGAGGTAGCCTGTGGTATATTGACGTCAGTCACAAAGATGCTGAGAAAGCTTTCTTAATGATTTCTTTCCTCTTTTGATTTTTCAAATTTCAGCACAATAACTTTATCTTCACTAGGCAACATAATCATTACTGCACAAAACTTTTGTTATGCCTTATTGCTAAATTATCTTAAGATAAAAACTATTTATCTTATTACTTTTGTGATTCACATTCTCTCTGGGTTAACTCGACTTCGTAAGTGTTATTTTGCTGCATATTACAACTGTTTGGTTTATGCATAGTGTATTTTTCTGCCATTTTCTATCATAATAATCAAATTATTTTTCTGCCATTTTCTATCATAATAATCAAATTATTTTTCTGCCATTTTCTATCATAATAATCAAATGAATTACAAAATTTAGATTTTTTAGAATAGTTTTTAGCGAACCAGAAATTTTAGAAGAAGTTCATGTAGCCCAAATAAAAGGTTTTGTATTCCATAGTAGAATAATATCAAAAATGTTATTACAAAACGAACATGCAACTAACAAATTGTATTTACACAAGATTCAACAAATACACATAGAACTTTTATTAGAGAGAAACAAAATACGTAAAATTATTTTCATTACGAACACGAAACACCATGGGAAAGATTCCATGCAAAACGTTATGGAAGATGCACAGACCAAGGTACTGGTTTGGAAAAAATATGAAAAAAAAATGTTAGAAAGTAAAGGACTCCACACTGAAAACTTATACATGTTAATAAATTTACAATAGAAAATTTCTGATTATTTTTTGTTGTTAGTCCACGTAAAAAGAAAAGGCTTTTGAACAACACAGACAACATGCCTAGAATTGATTTTAAAGTTATTTCATTTTGTTTTAATAGGCATGATGCAAGCCTTTTACCCTTTGTTTTGTTTGTTTACCTCAGATTCCTTGCTTTCTGCTGCAGGCTGTGAAAAAAATAAAAAACTACTAGAAAAGTAGACTAAAAACTACAAGAAACACTAAAAATACTAATACATTCTATGCTGTTTTATTACTAAAGTATTGTTTCAAAAATTAATTTTCTTAACTATATAAAATAACTTTTTTTTTTGGCATGTGGTCATTTAAAAATAATTTAATAAAAAGGAAAAAAATTTTATTGTAAAATTATTTTAATTTTTATTATTAAATGTAAATTATTTTATGATTTTCATTTTGATTGGTTATTGTTTAAACTTTAACTTTTCTTTTGATACGAATCGTCTAAATAGAAGGTAGGGATAATGTTTTACATTTTTATATGTACATTTTGGAATTTTGTGTCTTTTTTTGTCAATTCATAGACAATTATAAAAATTGACATATGACTGATGATATTGTGATCATATATTCATTATGGTATTATACTGAGATGTTTTAGAATTTTATACTTTTTATTTTTTAACTGCACTAATAAATATTTGAACTTTGATGTTTAATGCTCTTCAGGTTCAAGCTTACAGTAATAAAGACTGTAATAAACAATTAATGCATAGACTTGAATTTTTTAGTAATTTTTATTTATTATTTATACTTCTGTGTTCTACTGTGCATTATAGTTTTAAAAAAATATAATCAACTATTGCATCATGTGAACAGCTCAAAACTAATCCAACATGTACATCGATAAAAATGTACATAACTTTTTTTTACATAATTTGATTTATTTACGTTTAAAACACTTAAAAAATAATTTACCCAATATAATATTGAAGTAATGTATAACTAAAGCAAACTAGAAAGAAAAAGTAACCCTGATCCAAGGGCACAATGTATGTACATTTTTGTAATAAACAACCAATTTACATGCTCATCTAAAAATTTAAATTGACTAATTTATCAATTTAAAAAAAAAAGAATAGAATAGTTAAACAAACCTCGTCTTGCGACAGGGCCTCGAGTTCCGCCGCTAGGCTTTGGTGACCTGTCAGAAGGCTCCTTCCTTCCTCGACGCTCTTCGTGAGCAGAAGCGCCTGCATCTCGTCGTGAGCTTCTTGCAGCCCTGAACGACACAATTTCACCAATAAATTTTTTTTGACAAACAAATAAAATAATCAATCTATAATTTTGTTTACTTCTATTGTCTTCTCTCAACTGTGAGAATTTTGACCTAAGTTGTTCGTGTGTTGTTGGAGAGACTCCGGATCCTCTTAATTCAAGTTCTTCAAGTGTTTTTTTATGTTCAAGTCTAAGACATTCAAGTTCTTGATTCAGTTCTTCGGCAAACTGAAAAATTAAATTAAATTATTAATTGAATTCTCTTTGTGATTTTTTTTATTTATACCTGTTGATTTAAACGAGTAGTTTGATTATTTTCTCGTTCCCTCTCTATTACTAATTCTAATTCTTCTTTTAAAGCTGCCAAGTTGGCTTCGTACCGGCTCTGCTCCTCTTCTAAGCGGAGCACTTCGCTTCTTAGCTTCTCAGCTTGTGTTCTATACCTGTTCGCCTCTTCCCGAAGCGAACAGTTCTCCAGTTCAATGCTTTGAAGTCTAAAAATAAAAACATTTAAAAATTGTCGGGATTCTTTTGACAAAATTTGATCATTCACCTAATGGCACAATTTTCTAACTGGAGTTGTTTCTCGCTCTCCATACGCGAGACCATTTCCCGATGCCATCTCTCCTCATCTCGGAGCTTTTCCTGAGCTCTCAATTCTACTTCTCTTATCTGCTCTTCAAGCATCAAAACCCTTGAAAATTTAATCGATTTAAATTTATTAAAACAAAATATAAAATTTTAATAAATAATCTTACCTCGCCTGAAGAGTGGCATTATCTTGTTTTACCCTCGTGTACCTTTCATCTCCATTCGTCTGGTTATCAGCTAACATACTCATTTGCTCTTGTAACATTTGCACCTTTAACAAACCAAAATTGCCGATTAAAAAGTGTACAACGTAAAAGCGCAAACTACCAAAAAATTCGTAAAAAGTCCAGAGGATTGTCTTAACGATACGAGGGACAGAGTCGTAACTCATGATACTTTCTTGACTGGATTGAGAATCACAGATTAAAACAATGAAAACAAGTTGGCCTTCAATTACTTTAACAATAGGTAGTACAAACTGAAAATAACATGGGAAAAAAATTAAAAGAGGAAAAACTGCGTATAAAAGCATACAAACATAGGAAACATTTGGCCAAAATTACCATAAGTAATCAAGGAGGATGATATTTTAATTAATAGAATCAAAGTTAGGCCAGTTAAAAGATGAAAACCAAATATTATTTTGCATTCTCTCTCATGAATTACGGTGTTCATTTTAGGAAATCTATTCAAAATGAGCTTCCCTTTTCAAATAATTTTCACACAGTCTAGCAGAGGATTGATTATCCTGAATCTAAGGAGTTCTTGAGAAGGATCTCTGGTCCATTGTCATGCACAAAGCTATTGTCAGAGATCTGACACAGTTGTCTGTTTGATGCTCCATCAATTTACCCTAGGACTGACTTATTATGAAAACCCCCCCCCCCCGTTCAATTTATCTTATATGACAGTTCAAAAATTAAAGCAAAAATGTGGATTTATTTATTTATATTCTTTCGGTTTGTCCATGCATGATTTTTTTTTTTACTCAGAAGGGATTGCACAGTGCAGAAAAGAAATAAAAGATTTACTCTTGGAGGAAGACGAGCAGGCGACATCCCTGGAGTTTGCAGCGAATCGATTAACAGATTCTAAAATATTTCAAAACAGACACGGCTTAGAAGGTCGTGTTGCTTTAAACCCAATCGAAAATTTACAATAAAGAAAATGCCGAACCACAAACGGATTTAGGAGAGTAAAACAGGATTAAAAAAGATTAGAGGTGTTTTGTTTCATTCTACACAAGGGGAAATACAGACAAAGCAGCTTTAGCAAGGAAAAATAAGCATTTACACTCCTCTTTCCATCTCCAGTACATGAGTTATAATTCAAGGCATGGGAATAGTGGAAATGAAGGCCTGGAATGAACAGATTACAGATATTTTATGTGAGAACGATTAAATCGTTAATTTACCCTTATTCTATGAAAACGTTTTGTTTTAGAAGAGAGACATCTAAACATGAGAAATTTTTTCATTAGCATTTATTTCACACACATTTTATCAAACTAAAAATATTCTTGAATTGTTGATATGTTCACTTTAAAAATTAGTTCGTGGTGAACAACAATTCTTGGAGATGTTGGAGACAATCACTGAGGCACAAAAACCAAATGAAAATAAAAAGTCAACCTAAAGAATTATTATGTAATGGGATATTTGAAAATCCTGTCTGTATTTTTTGAGCCAATCTGTACAATGGTGCTAACGTTGGTTGCCAAAAATATAAAAGTTGTATAACCATTAAGTTATTATTTATATTTTTACACAGAATTTTTTTTTTCCCCACCAAAATATCACATACAAATACTCACGTGTTGGTTCAGCTGGCTACAAGCTTTGTTGAGGTAGGATTTGTCCCGGTTCCGCTCCTTGGTGAGTGGCGACGGAGGCAGATTAAGGGGAAGAGCGCCCGAAAAGGCGAACTGACCCTCCCAAAGGTCGTACTCTAGGCCCGAGCCTAGGGATGGGGTCTCTTCCTCAGTGAGCATGTCATCGAGGCAAGGGTGGTGAGGCGAGGAGCTACCCTCTTCCTCCCTCCGCGCCCTGCGAGTTTGCAAAAATTCTACTCAACTCGTGATAAGAGGGGCTTGAGAAACGAAATGGATATTGGCGTGAAGTCTTTTACGAATTCATTTCCAAAATATATATCCAAACTATTGTTTTTTTGTTTGTTTTTTGAATTATTTAGATTTAAATGCAGTGGTGAGTTCTGAGAGGTGATGGATCGCTAGGCCATCATCCTGCTCTGGCTATTCCTGGTACATCATGTTTCAACATTTCAACAATTTCAGTGGTTGGTCTGCGTGCTATTTTATCTACTCTGTCTTAATCACAAGCCAAACAATGAAGTTGGTGAACTTTTGAGAGAATAAAGATGATCAAGCAAACAAATCCAAGTAAAAAAAAAAAAAATAATTATTATTATTCAGAAATCGTGAGATGCGGTCTGGTGAGATGTAGGTTTCAGAAAAACATTTTCTTTATCGTGCCAACGTTTCGACCTTTATTGAGATCATCTTCAGGGCTCAAAGTGTTTGTCTTCTGTGTAATTGTGCCATTCTTGCAGAGAGTGCCTTGTGCACGACACACAAGAATGGCACAATTTCACAGAAGACAAACACTTTGAGCCCTGAAGATGATCTCAATAAAGGTCGAAACGTTGGCACGATAAAGAAAATGTTTTTCTGAAACCTACATCAAACCAGACTGCATCTCACGATTTCTGAATAATTATCGATTAACGGTCACGAATCACCACACAATAATAATAATAATAATAATATCTATTTTTGGTATTATTTAAAAAATCCATTTTTTGAAATTGCTTGGGGATTTATTTTTTGGAAATAAGTTCTCACACGTCCATCTTATTTTTCAAGCCTCATCTGTCATGGATGCAGGAAGACACCCATGACTTTTGGTCAATTTCAATATTTTTTGTGTTTAAAATTTATTATTAAAGTTACAAATACTTTTTAATTATTTTGTTTATATTTAAAAGATAATTTATCAACAAGGGGCAAGTATCATTGGTGAATCATGTGGTAATAAAAATTATGTTTTAACAACTTCGAATTCAAATTTCTCATACTTAAAACTTTAAGAAGAACCGGAAAGACTTTTATTTATTTTTAATAAATCCATCCTAACCGCCAATTGATTCAAGCGGATCTTAAAAGCCACAAAAGAGAAGTGCAAAGACCACAACCGTTTCAATGGATTGTTTCGATTTTGTACATATTTTACAAATTGGAAAACGTACAAAGCACATAAATAATCCATTGGATGATTTTTTTAAATATATTTTTTTTATTTATTATTGAAGTGGCCGGACCTTCGTTCTTTGTTATATTTTGTGCGTTTGGGACCCCCGTTCTCCACTTTTCCAGTCAGGTGGTGTTTTGGGCCCGTTTCCGGCCGAAGGGCTTGGCTTCATTTCCGGCTAAACGGGCGCGGCCCATGAAAATCCCATGTTCGTTTCGGCCAATTAATGCCACAAAGTACAATATCAAGCACTCATTTCAACAAGGCCAAATGGTGTTTTATCAAACCTACAGTGCACTTAAAAAAAAATTAAGGCATAAAATATCCTAGTCGACAATCTGATGCCTTTAAAATATTCAAACGTGAAAAAACACATGTTTAAACAAACATATTGTCTGTTTTTCCTATGTCCAGACAATGTGACATTTCAATTTTCAATATGTCTCCAAATAAGTCCCGTGAAAACCATTAATTTGTGGCACCGTTGCGAAGTCATAAACCAGTTCTTTTGGCTAAGTTTACTGCCAGCCCAAATTTCGGATTCGCTTTTTTTTCTCTCAAAATAAATTTCTTTCCTTTTAGCCAATGACAATAATTTTGGACAGAATTAAGTAAAAGAGAAAAAACCTGGAATAACTCGTATTTTTAATTTCAAATATATAAAAACATAGAGAACTTAAAATATAGGTTTATGACTACGCAACGGTGCCACATATTAATGGTTTTCACTGGGACTTATGAGACATATCCAAAATTGAAATTTCATCTGGTTTTCCTATGTCCATCGTTTAGTTAGAACAAGGGGTTGATTTCAGATAATGCTGGATAATTGGAACGACATAGTTTTCCTCTGGTGAGATTTTTCAACGACAATTTATTACAACGCCCTTTGATTTTTTTAAAAGAAAATTACTTTGTGTTAAATTTTGATTTATTTTTATACAACCATATGGTTTTGTTTTGTTTTTATGTTTAACTAAAACGAGAGTTTTATTTAAAATTTTGTCGTGTTATTATTGAGCCTGTTGACTTAAAAATGCGTTTATAGGGTTAAATAATCAAACTTTTTTCTTTTTGAGATTATAGTTCAAATTTGAAACTATTATATTAACGGTATAACTTTTCTTTATAAAAAATCTCAGAACTACCTAGGTTATCATAGATCTTAACATACTTGTTGCTTTTTCCTCATCCGCTTTTTGATAGCCTTCTTGGCTCTTCTTCCCAGATTTCTCACCATGGTGAATTTCCTTCTCACGGCTTTGTAGTAAAAACGGGATCGGACCATTTTCCCATTTTCCGACGGTCCTAGAGTCAAGTTTTCACAGTTGGTCAGGATCATATGACCGAAGGTGTCCCGGGCCAAAAGGGCGAGAAACGGTCCGTCGTTTGAGTTTTAAAAACAAAAACTAACTAAATTCTAACTACGATAGTACGAATAAATACTAAACAAGTAGAGGTAAACTATTTTTTATTATAGAAAAAAATTACATGTGTCATTAAAATGTAAAAATGAGAAAATTATTTTTTCCCCAAGACTCGCAAAATTGGACACACTAAACATTAAAGGAGTTTTTCTTTCAGCAAAAAATAATTTCCATCAATTAAAATAAATAAATAAAAATATAAGCCTAGTCCCTTAAGATTACCGCATATCCAAGCCTGTACCGGTCAAGAAAAACGAAGACTTTTGTACCAAAAACCTATCGTCGTAATCATCCCCCGCGGTTTTATTTCCCCCTCAGATTTTATGAACAATAAACCAATAAATTTGTAAAAATAATAGTAGAGAGTTTATTCAGTGTCGTTGTAAGGGGGAAAGTCCACACAGAGAAAGGCCCCGGAACGTCTGGGGAGAGAACGAACCCGTATTTGAAAGGAGAACCTGGCCGTAGTTTCACCTCCAGTGAATAAATCGAGGCTCGGAAGCGACGGGCGAAAACCAATAAAAATCATTTTAAAAATCCCCATTAAAAGCTCGTCGGTGAGAGAAATGAAAAATGAA